GAAAGGTACCTGTTTCCATATTTGATGTTGTCTCTAAGGATCAGCCATCAGCCCACTTGTTTAACCTTGGGCAGTTATAAAGCATGTTCATTTACATGAACCTCACTGAGATTAACAGGCAGGTTCAGGAGCATGGGCCAACACCTGCAGAAGCAATTTCCCTGTCAGTTTGAGTGGCAGTATCTTTTCCTGGCTCAGGAAAAGGTTTTCTCCTTCTCACCTCCTGTGAATAATCCCTGACTTGGGGATCCCGGGTTTGTCCTGGAGGAGGGACATGCAAGTCTGCAATTGAAAAAAAGGGCAAAGTGTGATGTATGTGACACCTTCCAGGAGTTTTCATTCTATTATAGATTACAAGTGAAAGTTGCAAGTCTGGCTGAGCCTCAGGCACTGCCTAAGCTTAAGCAGGACATTCTCATTGGTCTGTATGCCTCTCCTCTGGGACATCTTTGGTGGCTGCCTGAATTGGGGCATGTTTAGTCTGCTCCAGATACAGGCTTCTGGCAGCAGGAATGGACTTGCTCCATCTCCATCCTTGGGGTTCTGTCTTCCTTCCACATCCCTTGCATCCCATACAGCTTCTGTGAGCCAGGCCAGTGCAGTCATCCATGGGAAAACCAGTTTTTATTCATAGGTGGTAGATTTAAACATTATTTTTTCATTGACTCACAAAGCTGATCCAGTTTACCACACACTTGCATGGTCACTGGACTATAAGGAAGGTGGAGGTGGCAGCAGGAAGAAGTTCACAGGAAACTTTGCTTTGTGAGAATTTCTGAATTTTGAAATATGGAGGTAAACGTCTCAACATTTTCAAGAAGAAAAAGCTTTTTATGTAGTTAGTTTTCTTACAGAATAAGTAGACACTATTTACTACAAGTAATTAAGTATAGGGGTTTAGGTTGCAACTTCTGAAACTTAAAAAGCTCAATTATTAATTCAAGCTGAGCTCCCTCCCTCTCTTCAGACTATTAATTTGAAAACATTTTTTTCTAGATTTCTTTTACATTCTCTCTGAGTTGGAAATACATGAACTCCTTTCTCTCTCAAAGGCATTTCTGGGATGAAAGGTGCATGTTGCCTGGTTTGGTTTGCTCAGAGTTGGCCATTTACTTTCACCTCTCATCAAGTTAGGAGCCAAGGGCAAGGATTCCATCTTTAAAGGCATTGAATACAAAGGTATCTGTACTAAAGGATTTTGTTTGTGGCCAGCTTTAGCTAGATGGCATTATCCATAATATCCTTTGTGCAGTGGAAGTGGGCATGCAGTGAAATAGGAAATACTGATGGCCTGGTGTCAGACTATTAACTTTCATATGTACCAACACTCTGAACGCTGCTGGAGACTCCATTAGGAACAGTTGATCTTCACTGTATTGTAAAAGGCATTGTCTAAATAATGCTGGTACAGTGACTACAGGAGTGGCATTCAGGGCTGGAAAGTGAATCCTGTGATGGTGAAAGAGCTGAAGGAGGAGTGAATGGATCCTGTGGCCAGGAAGTGCTGGCACAGCTGGCACTGACAGCAGAGATCTGGCTTTTGTCCTTTGAGTGTCAAGGACTGTTAGGAAGGGGTGGGATCCACCCAGCCAAACGAGGCAAAAGTATTTTTGCTGATGTGCTGACAAAGCTGCTGAGGAGATCTTTAACCTAGGGATGGACAGAAAGATCTGATGACAGTAACATGAATGAGGGAATAATGGACCAGACTCGTAGGCAGGAGATGCATGGCTGGGGAGCTGCCATGGTGGAGAGAGACTCTGTAGAGACAGGAAGGGAAGATGAGGAAGGGGAACTCTCTCCTTGCTTAGGGATGGGAAGGTGTGGAGCTCTGCCCAGGGAGCAGAGAATGGACAGGCTGTGCTGGAGAGCAGCTGATGTTGGGGATGCTGTGTTGGGTGTCAGCTACAGACACATGACTGATGGGAAGAACATCTAGTAGCAACTGTAACTAAAATTACTTGAACTTTTAATGTTTAAAACTCTCTTCACTCCCTTCCAATTTGGGAATGACATTTTTCAAGTCTGAACTCCTCTCAAAAGTATTTTTGGAAGGTCTGAACACAAACAGTTTAGCCATCTTTGTGTAAAATGACTGCTAGGCAAGTACTCGGCTATGACATATTTTTGGCAGAGAGCTATTGAACAGCTTTAGGGCCTCATTGGAAATGTCCAAGAGTTTTAAAAATCATCACATAATTATTATTGGTTATAATAATCCTTAGACACTCGGCCTAGCAGTCAGTGACTTAAAGCTCTGGAGGGTCTGTAGACAGCAATGAAAAGCAAGTCCTTGAGGATATGCCAGAGAACAATTCCTTGGTACCTGCATATCTAGCAACAATTCCTTGATATCTGCATATCCAGACGTGAACAGGACACAGCAGTGAAAATGTTACTGAGCTGGAAAAGCATGGTCAGCTATGGAGATTTAATTGGCTGTGTATCCACACTGCTGCTAGCGTTTGGCACCTGGTGTGAAGGAACTGGAAGGAAGGTGGACAGGAACTGCCATCCCCTTGCTACTGGACAGAGGCTGCAGCAATCCCAGCACTGCAGTCTCCAAACTCATTTACCCAGACTCTCCATTTCAGGCTGTGCATGAGAATTATTCAGGGGAGCATTGCAAAAATGCACCTTCAATGTGAAAATCAGCGCGTTTGTTTTGGGGCAGTTGTGGCCTCACCACTGACAGTAAAGCCCAGGAGTAGGGAAGTACTTGCCATTTGGATAGTGAGGTGGACTGTCTAAAAGGAAAGTTTTAAACTTGCCAGGAGATGGGAGTAATTATGTTGCACTTCCTACTCTGGTTTTGATCTTGTTACACAAGCGTGAGTGAATGTGAAATTACATCCTCTCCTTATAGAAACGTTCCAGATTGGTTTCACTTGATACATTTTTGCTTTCATTATTAGAGCTACATTTATCCCAGACCTTTGAAGTTTGAACTACTTCCAATGTCTACACTCCATGAATTCCCCTAGCTCACTCGTGCCTGTAAAATAATGCTGTACCTCCTGAAGACACAAATCTGGAGGTGCTTTGTATTTGCGGGGAACATGGTGTCCCCTGGAGCTGTTCATCTCAGATCTTTCCATGGCTCCTCGTGATCAAAAGCTGTGAAATGCTACTCCAGAGAAACACTGGTAATGTTGAGGCAAGTGGACACTCTTCCCTGAAGCTTTTGGATTAAAAAGTTCTTGGACATTTTTCAGTTAACTGTTTATTTCATGGATGGAAATTAATTTGAACTTTTAAAAATACGATATCATGTGACCTTTCAACTCATACATTGCTGAATTAGAAGAAGAAAAGTCTTTATTTATTGCTGCCAAGCTGTTCTTTCTCAGTTGCATTAAAATGAAATATATTTGGGCATAAAAGATGACAGTTCCTTTTCATGGCCTATTACTGTATTTTTGCTGTGGCTAGTCAGATGTTTTTATCTCAAGCTTTGTTCTTTGCAGTGGAAAAAAAAACCAGAGGATTTAAGAGCGTGATAGAGTTTGAAGAGAAAACAAAATTTTCACACAATACTTTGCACTACTCAAGAAATGAGATTTCATGCTGGCAAAGCTCTGTGCTTGGTTGGAGCTCTTGTTGACAGTGATGGGCTTTGGGGTTCCTCCTGCAGCTGAGCCAACATGCCACCTTCCTGTGGCACAGGTATTCGTTGCAATAGGGGCAGAGGATCCTGAGCAGCAGGCTGAACCTGTGGGAGCACCTCGACTGGGATTCCCATGCCAGGACCCATCCTGGATGGAACCAGAGTGTCTGGCATGTGCCTGGGAGGCTGGAGGTACATGAAAAATGGATCAGCTGAAAGAGCATCTCTTCCTGACAATTGGGAAGGGAAAACATGGAGGACTTGAGTGGGAAAAAGTCCAAGTGTAGGCCACAATGGATAGGAGCAGGAGAAAATTTGTTGTGGTCAAGTACAGCTGGCAGTTCAAGGAGAGGATTAGCAGTAAGAACAAAGGAACAGTGTTTGATTTAACTGTCCTAGCTGCAGCTTTTAGACAGGACTAAGAGCAGAAAATAGTCCTTGGTCTGATCCTCTGGCATCGGCAGGAAAATGCCAAGGGAGCTGGCTGGGACAGTCCCAAGGGGACAGGTTCTGCAGCTGCCTGTGCAGAGCCAGTCGACCTTGTGATCTGCCAGTGCTGGCATTAACTACTTCAATTTTCCTCTCAAGAACCAGAAATCTTCTTTAATACTACCTAAGTCTAAAATTGCAGAACTGGAGGTTGGAAGGGCCCATTAAGTGATGTAGCCTCTTCTGCCCACAGGGGGGTTGTTCAGGAGAAACTTTGTGATTGAAAAATAGGGATTCAACCAATTACTCACCTAATCATTTCAGTTCATCCACCTCTGCCTCTGAGATCTGCCGTCTCATCTTTTTTTGTAAGCAGCATGAATGGATTATCAAGTTTCATTCTCAAATAATCTAAAAGGCAGATTTATGCAGAGTTTTTGTATCTCTAAATGAATTGGGGAATGTGAGTCTCTTGCTACACTGCGGCTGGATATTCCTAGGGAAGGTGTATAAGCAGCCCAAGCCTAATTCCTGTGAGGGATTTAGCTCACTGCATGCGACCTTCAGCTGGAGTGAGGAGCTGACCTCGGCTTCGGTGCGAGCCTGTCCGTGCCTGGAGCCGCGCTGAGCCGCGGCGGTGCTGCCCGGCAGTGATGTAATGTGTGTGCCCTCCCGCCAGCCGCGCTACTGGAGGCGTCGCGTTGATGTGCGGGCGGCTGCGTTAGCGCGTCCATTCGGCGGGGCGCGGCGGTCACCGGCCGGGGCGCGGGGCCGGGAGGGCCGGGATGCTGCCGCGGGTGTGTCCCGGCCGCAGGCGCGTCCGTCCCTCGGGTGTGTCCGTCCCGCCCGCCGCCCCGGGATGGCTCCGGCCGCGCCGGCGGGCATCGGCCGGCAGGGGGCGCCCGCGAGCCGCGCGGGGCCCGTGCCGCCCCCGCCCGCACGTGGCGCGAGCCCCGCTGAAAAGCCGCGAGCAGCCCCGCGCCCGCCACTGGCGTCGGCAGCGTCCGCTCCGCTCGGTCCTCCCGGTGCTTCCCGCTCATTCCCGCTCATTCCCGCTCCTCCGCCGCCCGGCCCGCTCTGCCCACCGCCATGGTGCGCGGTATCGGCACGTCGCATCCTCCCCTGCATCCCGCAGCCCGGGGGCGGCGGGTACCGTGAGAGCCACCACGCATTCCTGGCGCTGCGGCGAGGACCGGGCGCACGCAGCTGGCGCTGACCTGTTGCAAGAGCCGGGCTTGTCTTGGAGATCTTTCGTCTAGGTCTTTTTTTCTATTTTTTTTTTTTTTTTTTCCCTTCTCGACGGGGGAAGTTTGCTCCCCAGCCTGTGGCTCGGTTTCCTCCACACCCTTTCCTCCTCCTTTTCCTCCTTTTTTCCAGGATCCGCTGCCTGGGGCCGAAAGAGGTCTCCCTCGTTACCCCCGGCCCAGCGCTGGAGCTGGGGGCACCCGCGTGCTGCGGGCTCGCCCTTTCACCCGGCGGCGGCCGTGGGGCGGCCCCGGGAGTGCGGGGAGGCTCCGCGAGTGCCCCGGGCTGCCGGGCCGCCACCATGTCCAAAGTGGCGGCGGAAAGTTGCGGAGCAGCGCCGGCCGAAGACTTGTCCAAGGTGTCGGACGAGGAGCTGCTTAAGTGGAGCAAGGAGGAGCTGATCCGCAGCCTCCGCCGCGCCGAGGCCGAGAAGATGAGCGCGATGCTGGACCACAGCAACCTCATCCGCGAGGTGAACCGCCGCCTCCAGCTCCACCTCGGCGAGATCCGCGGCTTGAAGGTAGCGGGGTGGGCAGGGTGGGACCCCTGAAGTTTGTGTGGTGTCTCCCGCCGGGAGCTGTCTCGTGAGGTAGATGGTCTGGGAGGAGCTGCTCCCGAGAACCGCATGAAAAGTGGATGAGGACTGGGTGAATAGCGTTTGATCCCGCTTAATAATCAAGCGTCCGGCTAAAGGATGACCAGCTGTTCGGCAGTCTGTGGAGCACAGCTGGTTTATGCTCTGCCCCGCTATTCTTTTGGGTTGATAAAAACGCTGAAGTCTTGTCAGCTTTGTGTTAGACTTCCTTGGTTGTGAGTGAGGTTAAATGGTCCTGCCTGAAGTGCACAGAAATAAGGGTTTCTGTAGCTCACGCTGTTTTCTGTCACTATTTTCAGACAGACTTAGTCTGTTAGGCAGGCTGGTAGGCTGCTGGAGGGAGCTGGTCATTTCCAGGATGCAGCGCAGCCTGTGGCAGGTGATGGCAAACCCGTGGGCTCGGGTTTGGGATGGTCAGAACCAATCCCTAATTTATTGTGCAAAAAGACATCTGGCAATGCATCTCTGATCAGACCATTCTTCCTTGTGTGCTCGTGCAGGGGCAGACCAAGTCTGTAATGGCTTATCTGCTCTTAATTTCACTCTCTTGGTGGCTGAGAAGCTTAGTCCCTAATGCTTCCTTCCCCCTTCTGAGGGCTGGGAAAGAAGTGTGACTGTTTACAGAGCATTACCTTGCTTGTGGATTATAGACATAGAAAGTTACCTTAGAGATAGCTAAGAACATTTTCTGGCTTATTGCTTTGAGAATTTTCAATAAATTCCTTCAGTGAGGTGAGGTTGGAGGGAATGAGAGAAGACACACAAATGCAGTGTGGGCTTTTGAATTATTACAAGAAAGTGCATTAGAAGAGAGTTCTTCACTTGTAGAATGGTTTTAAATGACAGAATAATTGAGAAAGTGTCTTTGATAATAGTGTGGTATAAAATAAATAGTTCCTGCCTCCGAAGGTTTTGTGTTCTGCAAAGTATGTGTGTCCCTTTGGTGGTGTCTGAGGGTAAAAAAGACCCATCCATGGTAGTATTGAGTAAAACTGAACCTTATATTTAAATGTAAGTTCAGTTACAACAATAGTATCTTTCTCCCAGTTACGTGCAAAAGTATCTGGATTTCTGCATCTTCCAGTTAACTGACCAAACACACTTAAGATGGGTAGGACGGAGTCATAAATTCCTCTCTCAATTCCAAACTCCTTAAGTCTTGTTTGATTTCCTCCTTTTGTTCAGATGCCTCAGCTGGGGCTTTCAGAAAGAATCTGGGAGAAGGAGTTTTTTGAGCCCTGTCTTGGTATCTGGGACTCTCCCTCCTTTGTCCTGTGTGAAATAACTGCTCCATGAGTAAGAATGACCAGCTGGATGGGTGTCTCCTGCTTCCTGACTGAGGAATTGTGGACTTCCACAACTTTTTTTGATCCCACTGTGGGATCATTTCAAACATCTCTCACTAGCAGAGGTTTTTAAGGACCCCTTAAAGGCTCATTGAGATTTTTTTTCCATTGTCAAGTACAGTAAAATTCAACGTGATCTTGAGGCAAAAAATCAGAAAAACACAGGCATTCATGCACCTAAATCTGATGGAGTTACGAAAGCTTCCTTTTCTTACGAAACTGTGCTGAAGTGGGGTTTCCATAAGACTGAATTTTTAACAACTTTGGCTAATCTGTGGTTGTAATGTCATACATAAGCAATGAATGTGTAGACAATGGGAGAAAGATAAATATGGTTGCAAGTCCAAACTAGAAGGATGAAATACTGAAAATGTTTTTATTCTGCTGTAGTAATACTCTGAACATTTTTACTTCAGAGTAAAAATGCTTCAGACTGTTCCTCACTTAGGGAAGGGCATAGATTCATGTACTTCATTTTGTTAAGGGTGAAAACGTCTATTTAAGCAGGTTATTTAATTTCAGAGTGGTTGAAGCAATTGTGGTCAAGTGATGACTGACAAGGCTTTTTATGCCAGTCAGGAACAAAATCCAGCAAACCCCTATCTTTAAAAAAAATCTCTAAAATGGTCATGTTTATATGTGACTATGCTTTAGGGAAAAGGGAGTATAAATGTTAATAATTAATTATTTAAGAGAGCTTACAATTTCTAGTGTACCTTGCACTTTTATTTAGAAATAACTCGCAGGTGAATATTTCTCAGGGGAGCAAGATCATCATGAGAGCACTTAGAATCCTTGCCCAATTTGGGAGCTAAATTACTCTGATATTTAGCATGAAAATTAATTAAGCACCTGAAACTTTTCTGCTGTATCAGAAGTTAGAAATTAGCTCCAAGCTATGGGCAGTTTTTGCTGGACAGCAGCTTTGTTTGCTCAAAGCATGGAGCTGTTAAAACGTGCCAGATCTACACATGGAATTATTTATGCCTTACTGGATTGCTTAAACAAGGGTCTGCAGCAGTGCTGTCCACTGGCTTGTGTAACAGTTTAACATCAATTCCTTTAGACTCCCCTCTGTCATGGTAATCTTTCTCTTAAAGGACATCAACCAGAAGCTGCAGGAAGATAACCAGGAGCTGAGGGACCTTTGCTGCTTCCTGGATGACGACCGGCAGAAGGGCAAGAGGGTGTCCCGCGAGTGGCAGAGGCTGGGCAGGTACAGCGCCAGTGTCATGCACAAGGAGGTGGCCTTATACATGCAGAAGCTGAAAGAGCTGGAAGTGAGGCAAGAAGAAGTGGTTAAGGAGAACCTGGAGCTGAAGGAGTTGTGTGTGTTGCTGGATGAGGAGAAGAGTGGAGGAGCAGGCAGCCGGAGCTCTATCGACAGCCAGATCAGCCTGTGCCAGCTGACTGCCACCAGTGCGTACATCAGAGATGTTGGGGATGGCAGCAGCACCTCCAGCACGGGCAGCACAGACAGCCCAGACCATCACAAACACCACCCAAGCACCAGTCCAGAACACCTGCAAAAACCTCGGGGGGAAGGAAGCCCTGAGCATCAGAAACACCGGAGCATCAGCCCAGAGCACCTGCAGAAGCCCAGGAGTTCTGGCAGTCCTGACCATCACCTGAAAGGGCCGAGCCCTGAGCATCACAAAACCATTGTCAAAGTACCTGAACAACAAAAGCACAGCAGCAGCAGTCCAGAAACTATCCCAAAGCATGTTTTGAGTAGTAGTCCTGAACACTTTCAAAAGCAGAGGCCTGGTGGTAGCCCTGAGCATCAAAAGCACAGCGGTGGCAGCCCAGATCACCTTCAAAAGCACACGCCCAGTGGAAGTACAGAGCACCTCCACAAGGTGAGGGGTTCGAGCCCAGAGCATCTCAAACAACATTATGGAGGGAGCCCAGATCACCTCAAACACCTCAGCGGAGGCAGCAGAGAAGGAACCCTCAGGAGACAAGTGACAGATGAGCTGTCCCCTCACCACAGGAGTTTGTACAACGGAATGAATGGTGGGTGAATATTTGGAGCAAAAGCTCACTTTGAAAATTGCTAAGGTAGTTTTTTGGTGTTATTCCAGCCATTTCTGCAGCAGGAATGATGTTTGATGTGAAATGAAAGGCAATGAGTCTGGTGTTACCATTATTCCTTTAGCAGATGATTTAATTGGAGTACACGTTTGTCCATCCAGCAGGTGTGGGGTAGATTAAAGAAGTAGGGGGATAGGGCATTTTGAGTGTTGGTATAGGGTATCAAGGAAAAGCTCTCAGCCCTGACCCTGCTCTGTGGTTGGTAGATGTAAACTATTTGTCCCTAGGTGGATTTGTGTTTGCATAGGAGAGGAATTGCATTATGTTTCTTGTCCTACTTGAATCTGAGTCAGCAGAGTGGAGGCGAGTGTCTCCAATTTCACTTCCACCTTCCTAATCTGCTTTGTCTGTAGCTTTAAAGATTTTAAAATTTCCTCTTTATTGATTGAAGACTTCTTTTATCCTTATCTATAAACTTTGGAAAAGACCCCAGATGAAGAGTAGGCACAATAGAAATGAATCTGATATCTCCTTTCAAAGCCTTGAGTTTGCATATTTTTTAATCATAACAAATTAAAAATTTACTAAGATCAAGAAGGGGTTTATTTTCTGTTTTATTGCTGCCTTTTAGAAAGGTTTCCAACAAACATGCCTAGTTTTTAAGTGCAGTATATCCTGACTGATGGAAATAATTTGTTTGTCTTAGGAGAGTCACAATGTAAGTATCTTGCTATTTTGAAAGCTACAAAGTTCAGACATCCTACTCTGCTGTTGAAATAACTCATTTTAGACTTCGCAGAATTCCTATAGCCTGCTGCCTTTTATTTCTTCCATGTGCTTTGGGATGTTCTCATGAAGGCAATTAATGTCCTAATTGGAAACCCTTTTCTCATGCCTTTATACTTAAATTTTAAATCGAACTGCAGAAAGTGATGATTTTGCCTTAGCAAATTGTCTTGGATGGATTCATGTGTTTCCATTTCATAAGCAGCTGTGAGAAGCTGTGCTGGCATCAGTGGAAGTGACCACTTGTTGGATCTGCTTGTGAGATGGGTGCTGTCTTCAACCTTTGTCACACTGGTCCAGTTACCAGCTGGGATTAACTTACACAATGCCTTCAGTTAGCCCCTCTCTGCAGGGGCAAATCCACATTGTTTTCAGTGAAATGTGTATTTTTGACAGGGCTGACCGACTCCAGCGTGGTAAGTATAGAGACTCCTCTTTTTAAAGACTTGGAAATGATTAATAAGGTGAATGTGTGACACATATGTGAAGATGTGTAATACAGAAGTTACTAAAGTTGGTCTTGCTCAACATCCATTAAATGCTGTATTGTTCTCCATTCAGATTTTTGTGTTTACTATTGACCTTCTGTAAGTAGCACAAAGTTTGAAACCAGACTTCCCAAAAATGACTTGTTTCTTGCACCCATGATGTTCATCAGTCCACCACAGTTTAAGTAGGAGGGTGATCCAAGGTTTTAAGTATGTATTTTTAAAACTCACTCACAGGGGAAGGAAGATGTGGGTTTTCTGCTACCAGCACTGTAGGCTTTCTGTTTCTTTCTGTGTTTTTTCCCCCCAAGTAGCCTTGTTAAGAACCATATTCCTAACAGTGCAGTGAAAGCAGTTGTTACTTTATTCCTGAGTTGACTGGCATCCTATGTGCAGCATATTTCAGCTGTCAAAAGATTGGACTCTGGCCACAAGGTGCGGGAGAGGGCAGCTGGTGCTCTGGGAGGCTCTTTATTGACTTTAATCAGAGCTTTGCCTGCCCTGTGCTTTATATAATCACTTTTACAGAGAAGTCCACTTTGATTTGACAACTTCTCTCACCAGAAAGTTGTCAAAACTCTCTTCTTTCATATTTATATAATTTGATGCAAGCTTGAGGTTTAATTCTGACATCTGTCTGACCTTGATCAAACTTGGTAAGACTCTTGACAGCTCTGCTGTGAATAGAAGGCTTTAAACTTCAGGGAAATACTTGGCCTTCACAGCAGGGCTGAATCCTTCTGGGTATTTTGTGTTCTGATTTTGTCAGCTACTGTAAAGTTGTGGGGAACAATTAACATGGAAGTGGTAGAAGTGCTGGTCATTATAAATTGTTACCGTTGTGAAAATAATGTGTAAATGTGAATTTGGATGTTCTGTGTGTACCTGACCCTGCCAGCTGAGAGTAGGCAATAATCTTGATCTTGTTGTAAGGAATGCTGAAATTGTGACAGTGGGAGTTAAGAAATGGCCTGGAAACCTGGCCCTAAATTCTGATGAGCAATACAAAAGGACATTATTTGATTGTGATCCCAAAGTGCATGTGGTACATACAGTATTATATTGCATTGGTGTAATCCAGTTTGTTTTCAAACTTGGACTATCTCTAACTGGCAGATGTTTGCAAATCTGTGTAATGAGTTTGCATAAGTTCTAAACTTATTGTAGTTCTTGTGGACTGTCATGTGAGCAGCAAGAAGTGCTGGTGACCCTAAATGATGAATGGCAGAGACACGCATGTTTTGATATTTAAAGGAGTAAAATAAAATATTTTAACTATGTAGTCAGAATTTATCTGAGTTAGTACAAGCCTGTCCCAATCTTCCTTTGTCTGAACTGGGCTCTGAATCATGTCTAAGAGGACAAGTTATTCCTCTGCATGTCAAACCTCATTCCAGAAGTGCTGTACTCTACCTGGAACTGATGTTCCTAATTGGAAGCATGTTTGGGACCAGCCTGGCTATTCCTGGAGAAATGGGAGCTTCTAGCAGCTCCCATTTAGCTGGATTTGCAATCCTGTCAGCACCTGGTGACCACAGGGAAGCAGTGGATTCTACAGGGTGGTGTTACCTCTCCCAGAGCTGAAGGTAAAGACATGTAGAATGCATCAGAGAGTTTGCAGGTTCTGACAGAGTGGAGCCGCAGTCAGAGCAGTTGCAGTATAATATTACAGTGCCATCAGAAATGTGATGTGCAGCTGGAGCTGCTTTGCAGGATGTGTTTATGCATTAATCATTGGCCTTCATGCATGTTTTAAGCTATGCGGGAAGTTACCTCAGCCTCTCACTCACAGGCACAGCTGAAGGAATAAAGGATGAGGTGATAACATTTCCTTTCATAATTCTTCTCATCTTCTATGCTCAAAGGTTTGATCTTGGTATTTTTTCTTGTATGACATGTCAGCTTTCATTTATAAGATTTATAAGGCTTTAAAAATACCCTCTACTTCATGGTTCTCCTACATCTTTTTCTGAAATGAGTGTCCTTAGCCTTTGCAGTGACAGAAAATAGGATGGGAGAACTAAATTTGGCCTGGTGCCTGTTAATTGAAAACATGTGTATTTAATTCTAGAGGTTTTAACCAAATAAAACATGGTAACAATCTTCTGCTGTAATCACACCTAAATGTTCTGGGTAATGAGAACAGGGGTATTTGGGATAGAAAGATTGCTGAAAATAGATGAGAAAATATCAGCAGTAAAAACATTTTGAGAAGAGAGCATTAATACACCCTAGAAGAATACTTGACAGTTTAGCTCTGACACAGATATCTGGGGTGTAAGTGCTTCTATAAATTGATTTGCTTTCAGCATTTGCAGTCTAAGTGTTGTTTTTTTAATCTAAGTGATTTATTTTCAACTTTCTATTTTAAGAAGTCCTTTGTTTTACTTTCAGCTTTTACTTTTGTGTGAAAGGAAGGTATCCAAAGGCTTTCATGTGTCTTCTTGCTTCCTACTGAGGTTATTAATGAAGAGAAGTCAAACTGCTGACTAACACCTCCTGTACTGCTGGAGGTGTGAGGGCTCTTACAGCACAGATGCAGCATCACCTCTCCTTGAGCAAAGGTGGTTTTAGGCTAAACAGACTCAGCATAAATTTTGGACACTCTTATAAATGCACTTGTGAGAAGGAAAATTAAATTAGAAAACACTGCACTGAATAAAAAGGGGAAACTGCAGAGTGACTCCAGAGAGGAAAAGCTCATAACAATGTTACTGAGTTAACTGATACCCTCTCTGTGCAAACAGTTCCCCTTTGCTGGCTGAAGAGTGGGATGATGTCATGTTTCTATGTACGTTTGCTTACATGTTACGTTTCTTAAAGTTGAAATGCAAATAATCTGCCTGTTGTTAATGGCACTGCACAGCACTCTGTGTGTGATATGACCTGTCTTGGTGGCACCCATGACTGCCCAGCTGGGAGCCTGAGGGAGCATTGCTTACTTTTCAGAGTGCAACCAAAGACTACAAGGATCAGTGAGATTTTTTTCCTTGACAATATGAAGGGATGTTGTGTTTATTTCAGGTATTTAATTTAGAAGCGTAGAGCTCTGAAGCTTTGTCAGAGTCTTTCAAGTGAACTCTGTAGGTTTGATGTTAAACTTGTAAATTGGTTCCAGCTGTTACACACTGTAAGAGAACTGGGGCATGAGTTGTGAATATGGATGTGACTACAGCACACTGCATTTGTTACCCAACTCGTTTTTTTGGGGAGTGATTTATCATGTTGAAAATGTGTTTTCTACTATCAAAAAAATGAACCTACTAGAAACCCATGTTATAGGACTTTTGGGAGAGGTTTACAATTCCACATCCTTAACTTCACTGACATAACTAATTTTGATTTAAATGTTTTAATGTGCAGTGGATCATCCTTCCAGCAAAACTCTGGGTATATTAATGGGAGAGTGATGCCTCTCCTGATGGAGAGTGGCCTGGTTTCACAGGTTGTCTGGATGTTCAACACTGATTCCTGCACAGGTTAGAGGCTGATCCAAGTGGCACACAGGGGCTGGGGGCAGGGTTTGCGCTTGGGTGCTGTAGCACTGCTGGCTGCAGTGGGATGTGCAGGGGGACTCAGCTGCACAGTTCCTCCTGCTGCAAGACTGAGAACACCCCGGCACCTTCTGGGAAGTCACTGCTTCCAAGTTTTATTGTCATTTCCTTTCTCCCTGAGGCTGCATATCCTGCTACAGGCGACTCTGTTTTGCAGTGAGGACTTAATGCTAATTCAGCCGTTGTTTGATGGAAGTGAGAGGCGGAGTAGGGAATAGAAACATTACCTTTAAGCCATCTCCAGTTTACCTCGTCTCTCGGGGAGCAAGGTCCCTGTTAGTCGGTGCTGCCAGGGATCTGGGAACTGGTCCCATAGCTCCCACAGCAAAGCCCTGTGGAGTGACTCTCTGGAGCCCCGTGAGCAGTGCCCATCTCTCCCGAGCGGGACGGAGAGGAGGAGCCGTACTGGCTCCATGATTGGAGGCGTGTGGCCATCTCTAGTGTTTGGAGTGTCCCCTGAAACTTCCCTGACTGTGACGCCGGGGCTCCAGGGAGGAAGGGCTGCTGATCAGTCACAGGCTGGTACAAACAAAAACATCCTGCAAGCCAGTGCCTGGTCCCACCTCCTGACTGTGGTACTGGTACACCTGGGATAGAGCTGGCATACTAATCTTTTTTCTGTTTTCTTTATTTTCTTGGGCATTTTTGAGAAACAATGTATTTTCTGAGTAGTGAGTGGTAGTTTGTTTTGGAAACAGCAGAGAAGCTTGTTTCATTTTCATGGTTATTGGGTCAAGGTGTGAGCCACTTGCCTTTGCCTCGGAGAGCTTGTCAGGAGTTTGCATGGCTGTTAGTGTTGTCTGCCTGAAAAAAGTGGGCACATTTGTGTGTTAATCTATGGGTTTTTTTAGTGCCAGAATGGCAAATCCTCACATTAAAGTCTTGTCTGAGTCCTTGCATAGAGAGAGTACCTTTAACCTGAGCTCAGGACCTCGTGTTATCAGTTCTTCACGCAGCTTTTGGAATTAGTGTTGTGAGTTTAGAACAGTAAAATATAAGTTTAGAAACATTAGTGATTAAATGGTAAAATTCTTTGAACTATGGCGCTTACAATGCAGTCAGTATATTAGAGTAATTTTTGGTAAGTGCTGCTTGTTTAAGACATTCAGCCTTGTAGTGTATATTATGCTTGCCGGTCAGAATGTCCTGTCTCTTCTGTTCATCTATTAATGCTATTTATTTATTTTTAAATTTTATTATGAAATCAACAATGGAGAGCTGTGCAGGGGTTAAAGCAGAATGGGTTAAGAGTTAAAGGAGAGTGTGGCAGGCAGTGTAGTGTGGGGTTCAGATTTTGTACTGCTACACACACAAAGTGCAGGAATGTTGACAGGAGTAAGGGACAGCAAGGCATTCCAAATTACAGGGTATTTAATGAGGTATAATAAAGCCTTGTGTACATAAGAAAATGAATGGCAATGAAAATTCATTGGCTTCTAAGCTAGTAAGTTATGTCTTAATTAGTAAACTGAAGCACATCTTATCTTGGGTCATATTGCCATGTGCAAAGAGATATAGTTACTGAGGTAGCACTAAGAATTATCTTCAAGTCATGATCTTGATGTAAATCTTGTCTGCTCGTGCTTCTTCTCTGGTTAAAGGGTGGTCTCTGTGAAGAGAATTAGCTAGGACTGAAACTTAGCTTTGAATTCTGCTTATTGCAGGAAGCAGTACAATAATCTGTTTGAGAGGGAATGAGTTATGAAAGTATAACATGGGGGGCAAAGGGCACAAACTAAAATTGCCTTTCGAAAAATAAGCTGTAATGATATAACTCTGCTTATTTAGTGGACTTGTAAATTTATTTTTAAGTGATTTAATTCTGCAGGGCACACAGAGGAGGGTCAGGATTGTAATTTGTGTCCATGAGCATTTGGTATGAAGCATAGAAGTGTGTGCAAATTTATTGATTGTGAATGGGAAAGCTGCTATCTTGAGCTAGGCTGTCTTAAAATATGAACAGTTCTGTGAAGGCTGTGAATAAAAAATAGTCTTACTCCTCATTTCTACTATAAAATTTGGGGCATATTTGCATTGTTTCTGTAACATTCATGGGGAGTGAAGAAGGCAGCAGCTCTGGACCTGTGTAGTTCAGCAAGAACATGCTTCTTCTACCCTTTATTTTTTATTAATATGATTCATGTGAACTTTACTGATTTGTAAAAGTCTATATAATAAATGAAGTGGTTATTTGGACCAGTGAAACAGCAGTGTTCAAGCACTGTCAAGAGTAAAAGATGTGTCATAGCTGAAAAAGCACAGTGAGCCATGTGGCAACCAACAATATGGAATGTCTCCTAAAGTACTGTTTTTTTACTTCCACAAGGTTACACAAATTATTCCAGAACCTTTATGCCTACAATATTAAACATCTCTAATCTGATCAGTAGCAAGATAGCTCCTTCAAATGTTTGACCTAAAAACTCACCAGATTCTTTCACTGCATCTCTTTAAGCTCCTGTGAGCTGTGAAAGTTTGCCTTGATCACCTGTGGAGCCTGTACCTGTGATTTGGATTCAAAGAAAAATATCAGTGCTTTCTACCAAGGGTACAAGGCTGATTCATCACTCTGTGATAAGCTTGCATTTAGGCCAAGTACTGCTAAGCCTGGAGAAAAGCATTGATTCCTGACCCACATCCCCTCTTGGCTCCTGAGTCTGTTTTTGGTTTACAGTGAACAAACTTAAATGATGTTCAAAATCCATCTTATGACTTTTGTGGTCTGCAGACATTGCTGAGGACATTAAGATGAGCCTCTAAAAATAGTATTGGATTATGAGAAACAAAAAGAACATTCCACTGGGGGCAGATGAATATATCAAGCACAAATACATGACTGCTGTGAGGCAGAACCTGCAAATTTGACTCAGATCCTTCCAAGGATTTGAGCACTTCCCTCCTTGTTAGCACCTGACTTGCACTGAAATGGGATGCCCAGACAGAACACAAATATCCTTGCTCATGCAGTGCTCTGAATGAAGTCACTTGTCTGTTGCTGTCATTCATCTTGTTTGTTTGGGTCCATTTTAGAAGTTTATGTAACCTGAAGTTAAATTTTGAATTTTAGGTTTTTGCAGTGTCACTAAGTCCAAAAAGAAAACATGACAAGAAAGCATTCCAGCAATGATTTTTTCCTAACCAGCTCTCCAACCACCAAGACCAAAGGCTTGTCAGTGGTAACTGAGCAGCAGAAGATACCAAATCTATGTCTCCTCCAGGTACAGGTCCTAAAAACTCTTTGATTCATTCCTGTTGTTGGAACTTGATGCCTGGCCTGTATTCCACTCCATACTGCTGAAGGCTACATTATGACTACTTACACCAAAGCATGTGCACGTATTTTGGAGAAAAGATCCTGAGTTTTTATTAAAACAAATCCTAATTTCAGTGTGAAGATATTGGGATTTTATGTGTTTTAGCTTCTCTGTAAGCATAATCAAATGCTAAGATTTTTTTTCACTTTTGAGTGGACTGGAATGTTATCTTCAGCCTGAATTGCAGGATTAGCAAGAGCATGGAAGTGACTGATCAAACTGTCTTGGAAGCATGGATCCCAGAGTTTTGTCATGTCACTCCGTCATCCTGGATTTGTCAAGAATGAGTTGAACAGTGTTGATGCCTTGTATTGATTGCAATATTGCAAGTACAGCCATTTGTATCCATGGAATCCTGAAAAGCTGGCTGGGGAGCTCCAAAAGGAGATGTAGCACAAAAGGACTTGCATGACCCACTTTCTACAGCAATGCAAATTCAAGTGTATTTACTTATCAGCTGCCACCTGAAGTGTGTCCTTCAGCCACTGGAGTCAGTTTCCTGGGCAACATATTCTATTCCACCTTTTCTATTTTGTGGTGTTTTTATTAATTTTTTAAACTAAAAAACCTGACAGTTGATTCCAGTGTCACTTTGGAAAGTGGATATTTAAAGGATTGATGAAGAATATTTGAATGATAAACAATTTCTATTGGTGTTGAGAGCAAAATACTGCTGAATTTACCACTGAAAAGATCTATAGTTTGAATGTAGCAGACCTTGGCTGTGTCTGCTTTGCACTTAGTAGAGCTGCACTTAGCACATGTATTTTTAAGTCAGTTGGTGTTAGATATTAATCCTGCATGTCACTTAAAGCTAATATAAGATTTTTGGATATTCCTTGTCTTTGTTGCAGGAGAAACAGGATCTTGACTGCAAAGATACAGTCAGGTGATGCTTGTTTTCAAATTTAATACTTAAGTGCTTTTAATACCTCCCAGTTTTGTTAGATTTTGATTTATTTGTTCCTGCAGTGCTGCTCAGAAACACATAATGGTGCACAGGAAGCAAAGAGGCTCTGTAAAATCTTGGTCAAGAATCTGCAGTGAAAGATAAAAGTTACTAGTATGTTTTTATGCCCTGGAGTGAAAAAAATCCAGATAGTGTTTGCATTTTGTTTATTAAGAAATGCTGTTTCCCAGGGAAGCAGGAGTATTTTTATGCCACGCACTGAGGCTCACTGGTCTGTGTCTTTGCTCATCAGGTGTCAGGAGAGTTGGCTGCTGCCTGAGCCAGCTGCTTGATTTGCATCTCAGCTCATGCAACTACTGATACAGGGCCCAAGTGCCAAATTTGTGTCCCATCATGTCTGTGCAAACACAGTAGGAAGGGTTCTTTGGGAGACTTTCTTCACTGCTCCAGAAGTCTCATCAGCAGAGCACACTCTCAGTTCAGCCACACCCAGAGACATCTGTTGCAAACATAGAGATAAATTTCAGCAAGCACATATTTCTCTATTTTAATGGTGTAAATCGGAAGTGGCTCTTTGCTCTACAGATTGCAGGCACAGTTCTGTTTCTGAGCACCATCCCTTCAGCAATCTAAATTCAGGATTCAACTTCTAACTGAGGGTTTGAGCCAGCTCAGACCTGGAGAACCAGGGGTGGATGAGATTGTAGACCTTGGTTTGTCACCTGTGGATCTGTCCATGTCCGGTTCCATTTGTGTTTATTCCCCATGCCATGGAAGGTGTGCCCTGATAGTGAACCAATCAGCTGGGCTAGAGGCTGACTGTGGGGAGTTGTGGGATTTTGGGGAGAGCTCATCAGACATCGGGATAATCAGACTTTGCATCCTGTTTTGCGAACATGTGTTTTAAAGTATGTGATGTGCAGAAAACTTCTCTCTCTGAATGCAAAGCCAAATGCTGGAAAGCCTAAACCCAAGTGTATGTCAGATCTGAAAGTTAGCAAAAGAAATATTCAGTGACATCTATTTTCAGAGATTCACAGCTTATTCTGAGTTGGAAGGGACCCACAAAGATCATCAAGTCCAACTCTTTAGTAAGTGGCCTGTGTGGAGACTGGACCCACCACCTTGGTGATATGTGCTGAAATCATCATCAGAGGGAAAGACTGAAAATCTGTAATATATTGGTCATCAGATTAACAAAATTTATGCCTCTTCTGAAAATGGCCTTTGCAGTCTGTTCGTCCTTTTCAGGCCCAAAAACTTCTGCTCTGGTTTGTGCTGCAGAAGCTTTCTGAGTTCCATGGAGTCCTGTGAGCTTCAAAAGGTCCAGTGCAAGTCTGTGACTCCAGAGGTCAGACTGGGGTACCCAGGGCAGAGGAGGATATTGCTGTTTTCCTTTGCTCCCTTGCTTGCTGTGGAAATCCACGAGCAAGTCCTGTCCTTGCTCCAACTTGTAATGCTGCTGTTTGAGCCTGCAGAGGGTCTGGGACCAGTCTTGTGTGACTGAGGAGAGAAAGCAGCTCTACCCAGAGGGCTTGGCAGGATTAACTCATGGCGTTCTGGCCCCGGAGAGTTCCTGTGTGTGGGCTGGGACAGCATTGATGTGTGGAACATCAGTAGTTTACGTGTGTGAATGCTCCCCTGGTGGCAGCCCAGTCCGAAAAAATGTCTTTATGAAGGTGAGACCTTGATGTGTATCAAGAGCTGTGGGTGTGCCCTGAGGAAATGCTTACACTTGTCAATAGTGCCTGGTTCCTGCTTGCAGCTTTTATCAATACTTCCAGAAACAATTCACCAACCACACAAATATTGTCATCATCACCTGTGTAGTAAGAACCATGAACTAAACAAAAGACAAGACAGGATTAATCAGCCACTAACTAGTGCAGATTTCCTGAGGTTTTGCTGCTGATAATTCAATTGCATCATGTCAATTTTCTAACAGCTTTATTCTTAGATTGGTCTGTTCTCAGCATGGTATAAAAACTGGGGCTGAAGTTACACACATGCCTAGAAAACAGCTTTATGAACAATCAGCTTGAGACAAACATTTTCAATGTGTTTCCTTTCAAAATCAACTTTTAAGGCAATGTTTCCTTCCTTCCTGAATCTCCTGAATTGGGCTAGTGGGAAACAAAGCTATTTTTAATTCTCTTTTGTGTGTGCAGCATTCCTGTTAGAAGCCATTAATCTACCTTTTGCATTTACAGGGCTGCTTAAAGGTGTCCTGGCACACAAAGTGATTTACAATGAGTCCACACCTGAAGGGCTGTGATAGCTTTACTAGAGGAAGCTCTGTTTTCTGTCCTGTTTCTTGTGGCGTGTTTTTACTGTTACAGAGTAGTTGTGTAGCTGTAGTTGTCTTGATTTGGGAAATGAAGATGCCAGTACCAGCCAGAGGCATGGACAGCTCTCTGCTGTGGATTTCAGGCTGTTAACTGGTACAATCCAGAGGAGCATTAATAATAAAATAAAGCATCAGAATAAAATTTGAAAATGAACATTCTTGAGATCAAAAAAAAGAGAGAACACAGTATTTTGGCAAGATGGTCATCTGTCCCTCAGCATCCATCAACCGTGTGGCATATTGTGACTGTGCCAGGGTTGGGGGAAGTGGTGCTTAGCAGATACAAATCGCCACGGTGAGGCTCGGGCTGAACATCTGTGGCTTGGCAGATGTGGAAGGGAGGAACTCGGGCTTTGGAGCTGTTCTGGCTGGGTGCCAGCAGACTCTGTTCTAGCAGGTAGGTGGCTGCTGCTCTCTGTCAAACACTGCAGGCTGAAATGTTTGCTTAAAGTCCTGTGAAGCTGGGTCTGTGTTCAAGAAAACAAGGGGAGAGGTTCTCCCTGCCTGCCAAAAGCTGGAGCTGTCCCGTGCGAGGTCGCTGCAGCAGGGGCAGTTTGAGAAGGGGTTGGCCCTGCTCGGGGTTCGGTGCGGGCTCCAGAGCTCCCCGGTGCTGTGGCTCTGTGGGGAGCCGGGGTCTGACATCCTGGGATGACAGCCCAGACATTCCCGGCCAGGGAGATGTGCTGACAGGACCAGCAGCAGCGATCCTGCTCGGGAGCACAAAGTTCCTGCAATTCCAGCAGCTTCCTGCCGTGCCAGGGAGCCAGTCCTTCATGGCCCTTCCCAGCCAAAATGTGCTCTGAGTGCAGTCTAATGTTTCACACCTGGGCCGAGATTAAAGAGACAGTAGTACTGCTACTATTTTCATCTTAATTGCAAACCAGAGCAAACACCAGGTTGTGTGTCCTGAGCATGATTTAGCAACCTGTTAGTCTTTTAATTGCTCTGATTATTTGGTACTTGAAATAAGTGGATATTTTTAAAATCTCTTGGCAGTAACTTTTAGAAAAAAGTCATTGCTTCTCATTTTGCAGGCATTTTGTCTTTCATGCTGAAGTACAGGAACATATGGTGCTACTTCTGAGGTAGCACTTGTTTAAATATCTTTCCTTGTAAACTTTTCTGCAGAGCCATATAATTTTCTCCTGTAAAAAACATTCATACTGTTTTATAGCTACTTAATAGGATTATCATGTTTTTATAATTGCAAACTTTTAATGGAGGTGGGTCAAGAAATTAAACTCTGAACCCTGAATAAGACAAATGAGCAGTAAGCAGTTTGAAATTCAAAGAGAGTAGTAAGAAATAGTGAAAATAGTATAAAGCAAATAAAATAGTTTATCAAAACATATCCCAGGTATTTTGAAAGGGTCAAACCAGTAATTTTATTTTTAAGCTGAGCTCTTGGGCTACCATTGGCAGTCAGTAGACACTCTAATACAGTGTCCAGAATCCTCACATGGAAGCCAGGTACATCTGTTTGTGTTCAGTCTAGTGAACAGGTCTCCCAAGTCATGGTGTTCCTTCCATGGGAAGTTTGAGTCAGGAGCATGCATTAAAAGATGTAAACCAGCAGCACATTCATCTATATACAATGAAGAGAAACTGGAAGTGTTCCTGAGTGTGGTACAGCCAGGAGAGTCAGAGGAGTGGAATAACTGGAATATTCTGTATATTTTTTGTCTACATTGCTAGACTCTTACCCAGCATGAGAGATGATTAGTGAGAGGCTAATTGGCCTGTTAAGTAAACATATTTAGAAGTGTATAAAGGATATGTATCTCAGGAATTATGCAGATCTAAAACCCTTCTCACACAGCAGTGGGAAATGCATTCCAGGGGCAGTGTGCCAGGCTCCCTCTCTGTTGCCTTGGACATGCTGAGCCAAGGTTGGAGTTCTTCACAAGCCTTAGAAAATGCTGCAGGGATGAAGCATCTCCAGGAGATGAGGAGCTGGCCCAGTCTTGCCTGGGGGCAGAACTTTCTCTCCCTGTGGGATCCCAGATGGAGCAGCAAAGCACAATTGCTGGAAGCAGAAAGGCAGCAGTAGGATGGATCGAACAGGATCTCCCTTCTCCTGCAACTGGGCTCAGGACTGATTGCCATCTCTAGGGAAACATCACTCAGATGTGGAGGTGGCTTTTGTAGCTGTAATGAGAGCAGGCTGTGTTTGATGTTGGAGGTTTGGAATTGCACCCTGCTGAGTGCAGACAATAGAATTGCTCAGAAAATAGTTTCTGAAGGTTTTTTTGAGAAGAAGAAAGTGGATGAGGTCAGACAGATTCAGAGTTATATCTAAGAGTGCACAGGTTGTAAAGTGAAGGACTGAAAACCAAAAATGTTAGACTCTGGGCAATGGAAAATGTCATAATCCAATTAGGTAAAGTTGGATTATGTTGAATTTACCCTAATTTTGAGCAATATTCCTGTTTCCTGAAAATGAAGGTGTGGGAGAGCAGAATTAGGTTACAAGATAACCAAAGCTCCAGCATTTCCAAGTTTAAAATGGTAGGAAAAGCTGTAGGTAATGACTACTTATATATCACTTGTTTGGGGGTGCTGAATGCAACAACTGAAATGGCTGTCGTTTTTCAGTCAGTCTCAAGTATCCATTTGGTCTCCTGCCCACCTCATTCTGCTGGCAGGTGGACAACAGGACAGGAATTTATCACAGAGCCAGCCATGGTGGAGTGACCATCATGGTGCTGCTGGTCCTCACCAGCTCCCAGGAGCTGCTCAGGATTTCTGCTTCCAAAGCACCTCTGAGCTCCCTTTGGCTTTTGGTGTCTTGAGCACTTGGAGGAGCTCCTGCCAGTCTTTCCTTATGACTGTGAATGGGGTTTTGGCAGTCCTGGCAGCTGATAGTCTACAAAAGTTAATATATTTTTGTGTGGCCTCTCCTTCTCTACCAGAGTTCTCTGTGAAGCAGGATTCTTCCCCTGTGTGCTGGAAGGCAGAAATCCTTCACTATGGAGTATTTAATTTTTCAAATGACTGCTGCCACAGTATTGGTCAGTAGTCTGTGTTAGTTGAACTCTGCTGCTGAATCTGAGCTTTCCTATTAAAAAAGGAGAAAGCAAAATATTTTTTGTATCCTTTTACTAAATTAATCTTAATGATTTGTGCAAGTCATTTCTATGAGCTTGATTATTATTGCTGGTGGAAAAGCAATTACATTGGAAAACCAACTAAAAGTCTATAGTGAGATTAAAGCCTACAGTTCTAGATATTTTCCTTGATTTATTTTTGATAGTGGGTGATTTATTATTTAGAGTGAGATAGGGATCTAGGAATTCCTCCTGGCTCCCCTTGTTAGTCCCTGCCTAGCAGCTGTTTGAACCTTATGGCACTAAGAAATTCCTACAGGTGCCTGCACTTTGGGGCTTGGAAAAAAAACCCAGGTAAAGTGAATCTGTAAGAATCTGATGGTTCATTTGATATGTGGTCATACAGGGTAGCAGGTCATTTAGGGGACCACTTGTCTCATTTTAATTCAACTAGAAAATGCTTACTCAGCTGCACAAATAGGACTATCCATCTGTACACCTATTATGGGATCAGATTAATTAAAGCAAAAGCAGTGAATTAACTTCAGTTACAAAGGCTGCCCTGAATTGCTCAGTAATAATTTAATCCTATATTACACAGGTAGAAGGCACCATATAACTAACATGTTAAACTACAAATTTCTCATCCAGCATGAATTTTGAGGGTTTTTTTATCTTGTTTCAGCATTGTCAAGGAGCTTAGCTAAATAGCCTTACAAAAGTAGAAGGTTTGAAAGCTTTATTGAATAATTTTGAATGCTTAGTTTTAGCCTTAGGACTATTTCTAACTATAACCTGAGCTAACTACCTTTAATCTTTCAGTTTGTCTAAGTGTCATTCTGATAAATTTAACATGAACCAAAGGTACTGTGGGATAGAAAGCTTTCTTGGGAGGTTACTCAGAAAAGAAATAGTTTTGCTTTTAATTGCACAGGTTAATATGAAATTGTCTTTCTAGTTTGAAAACAGAAAGTGATCATGTGCAGTTGCCTGGGAACATCCATCCTGCCATCCTGCTGCCGAGGTGTTTATGAAGAGTCAAAATGTTTATCAGGGAGGGGTTTTGTATTTCCAATGTCGCTGTAAGGTCATAAGTACTTTTCAGGGAAATACATACCTGTGGGCTGCATTTGTTCACAGCCACCACACCCCATTCCTTCCATGCTCCTGTACAGAGTTCCAGGTTGGATGTGAAGCTCTTAGTGGGAAATTTCAAGTCTGTACCCAAGGGACAGTCAGTACACTGGGAAGGTGCATGAAGGTGCACTGGGGATAACACAGAGCTTGTTCTGTAGCTGTAATACAAATAAGCTCAATATTCAAATGCACAATCTCTCTGAAATACCACAATAAGGGAGAAAATAGAATTAATACAAGTGTTGCCAATCCATTACTGTACTGAGGGCAGGAAATCAGCCCTGCTCTCTGCCACAAAGTAATACTATGGAAGTCTGGGAACCATCCTTGCTGGGCATCAGGCTCTGCCTAGTGCTTCAAAGAAGAATTGCGTGTGACTTGCACTCGAGCTGTGTGACAATGTGTGATTGCATTTCTGGAGATTGGAACTGTGTTTTTCCCGTTTCCTTTTGACATCACTCTGATGACAGCTGAGGGTCAGCAGTGTTTGCTAAAGAGATAATGGCAGGCTGATGGCCCCTCTCCTTGAGGAAATGCAGATTTTAGTCACTGATAATTAAAAATTACAATTACTGTGTGATCTTGAGTGTAGTTTGGAGCTTTTTTCCTCTTAAGCCAAGGAATTTCTTAAAGCATTTCACTGGAAAATGGAACTAGATGGAGAAACATGGTGGTAGTTAAGTTGTGGAGAGAGTGAAGCACAGGATTGTGGAACCTGTGGATTATGTTCTGCCGTGTTGCAATTACTCCTATGGGCATCACAGGAACAAACATGGTGCAGTGGTAAACCCAGAATCTTGAGGGTAAATAATTTATTGAATATATACTAACATGAGATGTTCTGGTTTAAATATCTTGAATGAAAAGAGCATAATATGCTTTTTCAGTCACACCCTTCACTAAAGTTGTAAAAAAGAAGAATCAAGGAAATACTGAGCTCGGATTGTTGAGCCTGTTTTCCTGCCAGGAGTGGAGTCCTTGAAGGAGGAATAAGAATTAGGATTGCCAGGAGCAACAACTGACCTTTCAACGCTTGGGGTGCTGTAAGTTGGCAGATCACAGGGGTACTTCCAAAGCAGAGCTCCCAGCCTGTTCAACCCCATTTTGATGAAAAATGACATGTCAGAAGAAGAGGGGATGTTTATCTTGCTGCAAAGGACCATTCACACAATGATTATCTTGATTTTATTTTCACAGGAACATATGTTTCGTGTTTAATCGTCAACACCTTCCTTAGGTCTTTGCTTCCCACCATAACTAAAATATGAAAAATAAGTGGGAATACAGTGAAGGAACAGGTGCGGTTGGAAAAAAACCTTGGCACAGTTGGCCACACATAGAACATCTTTTAGAGCATTAACAGGGGTGAAAAATTATGGCCAGTAAACCAGAGGGGGAAGGGATAGAGGGATTTGGCTTTAATTTCATTTTTAGTGGGAAGAAGAAATGAATTTGTATGAGAAATTGCTCATACACAGTTTGATCCTCTTGCAGGAATATTACCATTGATTTCTGGAGGAATGGGATGTGCCACCTTGTTTGCCTGAGACTGTGCATTTCTTTTGGTACAGAGTAATTCACTTACACTCCAAAAAGCCCTAACCCAAACAAAAACCACCACAAATAAACAAAATCTACTTCACTGCATGGAGATTAAATTAGCTTTTAAATCTCTAATATGATTGTTATGGAGGCTGAGGAAAGGTTCTCTTGAAATTTTACTACTCGGAGTAACTCCACATTGTTCAGTAGTGGCAATGGTTAATTCATTTTCTAAAGATCACGTAGGTACATGAGGCTGAAACCTTGTGATTTATTTTGAGCTCTGAGGAATATAATGTGAAAACCTATTCAGGTTTTACTGGCTGGCCAGAGACTGCAGTCAGTTTAATGAGACACAGCTAAATTTACCATGATAAAGTGCTGCTCCATGCACAGAATAGATGTTGTGGTCCTGTGCTGGTGATTGATGATTTATTACCTTCAAAACTGTAGAACTAATGTGCGGAATTAATTTTGAGTGGATTATTCATTGTTTTTACCTCCTGGAATCTTGTATGATTGGTAAACATAATTTAAAATTAAAAAAAAATCCAAACACAAAATTTAACTCAGATTTTTGCGTTGTGTATTTTAGAACACCCCCTTTTCCCCTGAGGTGTTTTACAAACCTAATGTAGCACCAGTTTTGTGCTGCAGAAGATGTTTATAGCTCACTTTATTTGGTTTGTTATCAAATAACTGGCTTTACTCTGTAAAGCTCTCAAGGGACCGAGTGAAGCTCCAGTGTGTGGATGATCCCTCTGTGCATGGTCCTTCATTCCCAGGCAGTCCATGGGCTGATCCCAGCTGACAGCCCTCAGTGTGGAGCCCCAGGCACTGGGACTCCACTCACAGGGAAATGCCTACAGCAGGTATTGCTCAGACCGGGAATTTTCAGTTTCCAGTCTTGGTTAAAGCTCCTGCTTTAACTGTTTAACTTCTGGGGAGAAAAACTTGCTCAGGCAGAGGGTTAGATCTAGAAAACTGAGAGGAGAATCCAGCCAGCAGGAGATGGAGAGGGGAGAGGTGTGTTAGAGGCAAGAAAAATTATTAAATGTGCTGTGGTTGTCTCTCTGACAAGCACACCATGACACAGAGTTTTGGGGTTTCTTCGGATGCAAGCAAGCCTTTGGTCTGCCTCTTGCACTGTGGGGATTTGAAAAAACCTGTGCTGCTCCCCCAGTGGGCTCCTTATGTTCAGGGCTCTGTAAAAATGTACATTTATGTACTAGCCTGTCCTGGAGGTCTCATTTTGGCGATGTTGGGTCTATAAGCTGAGCTGCTGATGAGCAGCTCAGACAGAGTCCTGCTAGAGCAAAGAGCAGCTCAGCTTGGCAGCATCAGCCTCCAGGACTGTTTGTGTCTGCTGCTGCAACCATCAGCTGTGCTTCCCAAATCCAGGGAGTTAGGCAACATAGGATATGTGCTCTGACAGGCTCCACAGCAACTAAATGTTGGATTTAGGTGGAATTCTGTAGGTCCGTAAGCAGTTTTGGTCCTTGCCCTAGAGAGCTGAGGTGAGCCGATGACTTTGCTTTGTGAGAGAATGTTTCATAATCCTCCTTTAAGCTTGGGCTCCTGTGCAGGTCCGGGGTGACACAAGGGCTCAGCAGTGTCCTAGCTGACAAAAGCAAAGGCTCTGTGTTTAATTTAATCCTTTATTTATTTAAAAGGAAAGAAGCTGTACTTTTGCAAGCAAGGCTCTTCTCAGCATCTGAAAGCTGGGCAGAGTCAGTCTGGATCATTACCTAGATTTTTAACCTCTGGAAAGAACACAGGTGAGCTTGTGGTGGAAAAACCATTATCTTTTGAGTCAGTCATAAATACTGTGAGGGTAAAGGTTGAAATATTAAACTGAGATTCTTTCTGCTTGCTCTTTGAAATACCAAAGACCAAGAGCTTGAAAGCTTTTCCAAGGCTTTCTGCAAACATTGGTGGTGGAATTATCATTCACTTTTTGTCAGGAGCTGCTGTGTGATGCTGTAAGGAACCTGTGCTCCAAGCAAACACAGCCCTGTATCCCCCTCTCCTTTGAGTCCTGAAGCTGATTTGTGTTCTCTCATCACAGCAACTATTTATTCTCTTTTTCACAACCATCTCTTTGGCCCCTTGTCCTTGTCACTCTGCTGGTGGTTTGGTAGATAAAATAGATTTAATTACAATCAAAAATGCCTGCTGAGGGTGGGCATGGTGCAGGACTATGTCAAGACAAATTGTTCCATGCTGGGGGAAAACCTCCCTTCTCTGACCTATTTTCTCTTTTGGAAATTCTGTTTTCCTTATGCTTCCCTACATATCTTCAGAAACTTCAGTGCTAAAGAACTTTATGATCTATAAGTCAGTTTTTTGGCCTTCATCTTTAAGTAAATAAGTATCAGGTGGCTCTGCTCCTCAGACTTGGAGCTGCTCACAACTCCTCTATCCATTACAGACACCAAGCCCTGCAGTGCAACAATCCAGGGAGTATTCTGTTTGGTAAAAATCAATCATCACGATCTCTCTACATCTCCCTGTTTTGTTATCTGTCACCTTGAATTCATCAGAATGATCCATGTTTGGGTTTTCATCCCTAAATCTGGCCAGACTGTGTGATAAACAACAGTGGCCATGAGACAGTTTCCTTAAAGGGCTCTTGGCACTCAGTCTTCACTCCTGGAAAAAATTGTGAAATAATGAAAGATGTTGTGGGAGACATGGGTTTGTTTTCAAGGTCTAAGCTTTATGCTCAAGGTAGTCATAGAAGAGTGCTGTCAAATTACTGACGTCTGGAATGTGAATTTATCAAACTTCTACTATGGAAATTTTTTTTTTTGTATTGGAGAAATGTATCTGAGGTCAAAAATATTTTTGTCTTCCTCAGCTGCCAAATCTCTGTAGGTTCTTTGTAGCTCTCTGAAATGATCCTCATGTGGCTGGACCGGTGCTGTGTGCTCTTCCCTGGGCAGGACAGAACAAACCTGCCCAAACTGAGCCCTGTTTGCAGTTCCTCTGGAAGGGGCTTCCCACATCTCTTGAAGGTGTTCTGCCTTATCATTCCAGGTGCTCAAGGCATGAACTTCAAACACTTCTCAGCCTTGGCTTTGTTTTAATGGTAAAATACATTTTACTGATTTCTTTTGCAAATGCTGCTTCAGTTTCTCTTCTGTCTCCATGGTGTGCTCCTCACTTTCAACAGAAATAATAAACCTTTATATTATTATTATGAGTAATGGGGGAAATTAGCATAGTTCTGAATCTCATTGTAAGTTCAAAATTCCTTATGGATACTATCAGAAGAGACACCACAGTTTGTTGCTATCCTTGAGACAGGAGCTCACATCTATCAAAGTCTTGATGGGCGATGATCAAGCTTCTCTTGCTTGGGAAGTGCGAGATGTGACTGATAGAACAGTTGGCAAGCCCAGAAGACTGGGCTTCATTTTTATATCAGAGAGATGCTGTGTGTTTCAGTGTTGGTACAATGTCCCTTCCCTGGATATTTAGCAAACAAAAATGGTTCCTCAGGGTAGGAGAAAGGGTAAACCAGCCTTTGGCCAAGAGCAGCATTTGCATCAAAAATGCTACTTTTTGGAATATAATTAATTAATAGAATTAAAATGCCTAAAAAGCTGGGTGTTGTCAGCAAGGAATGAGAGATGATATTGAAACAGGATAAAACTTGTGATAGAAAACACTGTAGGATTCATAGCCTAGTTTAGATGCCTTTTAAAGCAAGGAAAGGAGATTGACTGTACTTCCTAAAGCCACAGGTATCATTCCAGCTTCTGGTTCTGGAAATTCAGATAACTTGAGCTTTGTGGTCTTGATTAAATCTTGACAAAGTTCTCTCTCTCTTTCTGATACACTTGCAGAAGCTTTATCCTTATATTTCAGGGCAGAATTTGGATTTGATGCCTCCCTGAGGATGTATTACACTTGGTATTACATGCCCACTTTGCACGGCATGCTTCAATTTAGCTTTTCCTGGTTGAAAGGCAAAAAAATAATAGAGAAGGAATGAATGTCTTATATTGGAAATCCAGAACTAATCTGAACACACTCTGTGAGTGTGTGAAGTTGTAGTTTCTCTGTTCCTGCTTTGGTGGAAGGTTTGATTTTAATCCAGAAAGAACAAAAATGAAACTCTTGTACATGAATGAAACAAAACCCCCCAAATATTTGCCTGACTAATGAGTAAGTCAATTTGTTTAATGGTGTGGTTTGTTTCTTCTTTTTTTTTTTTTAATATTCTTTTCCTTAAAGAAAGCAAACTGAAATTCTTCCCCCCAGCTGAGGTTTTGCAGGTGGGCAGTGTCAGCAGGAACGAGAAGTCTCTGAAGGACAGGAGAATAGGGAAAAAGGACGCTGTATAGTTTCTAGGCTGTATTCCTTACACTTAATGCAATGAGTGGTTAAAACAATAAGCAGGTTTGGTGTCAAGTTTTGGAGATGTTGTACCAGAGCCAAGAAAGCGGGAGAAAGGCAGGAAGCACTGGAATGTGTTGAGGGTTTCTCTGATAGAACACATAAATAGTAACTGTGTCAAAGGGAAAGTAGAGGTTGCAGAACAGCAGAACTCTGAATTCCTGTCAGGGCTGCTTTGAGTTGTGCTGAACGTGCAGGCCCTGGAAACACATTCAGAGTCAGAGCAGGAGAGGAGCGCTCTGCTCAGGATGAAGCCTCAGGTTTTAGCATTTATATTTTTCAGATTCTATTCTGCTTTAGTGTGTAAGTCTAGGCTTCATATTAGGGGATAGTAAGCTCTCTCCACAGAATAGGTAGACAAAGCAATTCCTTCCCTAGCTGGGGACCCAAGGACAGCCACTCCAGATCTCCAGCCCAAGAGCATAAACAGTGGTGGACTGAAGAGAAAAAACAAGAAGAATGGGACTTCATAGCCTAAAGCTGTAATTGGACAATTGGTTCCAATATGTAAATGGACCAGAATTTATAAACGTGAGAGAGACCCTGTGACTTGTTCTCCATTTTGTGGCCATTTTGGGTTGTGCTGCCCAAGGTAGATCTATTTGAGACCTCTTCATAAATCCCTATTTTATTATTTAGCTCCGTCTAGTCTCTGTCCTAGGTCAGCCTTCGCAAGGCATAAAGGAGTCCTGTCCCCCCCGCGGAGGAGCAGGCTGGGGCTTCCTCGGCGAGAGACAGCCCATCCCACACCCCGGCAGCTGCTGCAGGGTCACATGCGAGTGCCACAGCCTGATCCTGACCTGTGGGGACACTGCATGTCGTGTCAGCACAGAAGTGGCCAGGAATATGTTGCAGTGCAAGTAGTCTTGCTGCCTACACTATTTTTATTTGCCTAGGCAGTATCTTGATGAAATCAAGAAGACTGAATCTGTTTAAAGTTTTGAAGTGGAAAGGAAATAATAATGATGCTTTTATTGAGGCCAGTTCTTTTCTCAGCCATTTCTTCACTTCTTTCCTCAAGAAGAGTGGGATCTGAGTGCAGGAGCTGGGCTAATCTGATTTAGTAACAGCTGGAATACAGAGATTTTTTTATTTAGCTGTTTATGCATCTTAATACATCTTGTTCCTTTCACTTTCTTTCATTTTCCTCCCCAAAAGAGTTTTAACAAATGCAAAGACACTGTAATGAGGAGGGAAGAAAATGACTCCTGACCATAGAGCTGTGGAAATTAAATCTTTCCTTTCTTTTTCCTTCTCTTTTACTAGAGAAGGACCTTATGAATATAACTCCATGCAACTAGCCCCCTGCAGCCACAGGGTGTGGGAAATGGTTTGTGTGGGTGTTCCAAATCACCAGATAAAAGAATAAAAATGGAACAGATGAGATGCCAAACCCTTAACTAATTTAAGGTGGCATAATGCAAAGAGCATGGATGATGGAGAATTTGGCTTCATTTAGTGATCTTCAGGGCATTTCATACATGACATCAAATAGTGACAGCTCTTCTGAAAGCTGCAAAGATTTGGAAGTGGCCACCCCAGTGATGCAGAAGTTTTTCTTTTCCATCTTCCTTCCATACCCTGACTTGACTGCTTAATAAAATAGTCAATTTTACCTGGTAAGCTCAGCCAGTGTATTTTATGTAATTCATGGTATGGATTTGGCTAAAGCTGTGCTCTACACAGTGGATCTGGGTACCAGGTGCAGCAGAACTTCAAAAATGAGATGAATTAAACTGTGGAGGGAGTTTCCTGGGTCTGACCAATCAGCTTTGGGGTTCCAAGTGAAGGAAATCAAGCTCCATACCATACTTCATAGGTTCTTTTATTTAGAAGTAAACAGCTCAGCTGGGATCTCTTAGCCTGATATGAAATTCCAACTTGATGGTTTTCTGATAAATAGTCTGTCTCCTGGCCTTTGCTGAAGCTCTAGGAAGAAATGCAAGCTGCATGTAAAGCTGCAAGCAGAATAAGTTGTATTTCACTTTTATAGGTCTTTTTACCAGCAGTTATTTTTATTGTGCCCAGACATTAACCCCACTAATTTTCCTTTTGTTCTTTAAAGGCTTAAAACTAAAGCTTATCAAAAGACAACAGACTTTTCAGTATTTTCTTGGAAGGTAGAGGAAAAATCTCATGAAGAGGCATCAGTTAAAACCAGGATATCCATCATTTTACATCCAGTGGGCTGGGTATGTTGCTTGTGTTTGAGCCTTTCAGCTGCAGCTTGGGCTCTGTAGGAGTCTGGGTGGGCAGAGCAGTTTTGTGTCATCTTCAAACAGGTGAGGGTGTGATGCACATGGGGTTAAACACCTCTGACTTAGAAGACCATCTGTGTTGCTCTGCATTTCATTTGCACCTGAAAATATGTCTAACAGGTACATGGGTTTGTATAAACCCTGACAGTGAGGTGGTCCTTATTCTGAGTTTGGAATAATTTCATTAAAGAAAAGGAAGCAAATACCTTTATATCTAAGTAGACTAAATCTCCTTTCCTCTAATTTTCATCACTGTGCATTTTGCTCTTCACTAAGTGACGGAACAGGTCCCCCAGCCCTGTTCCCTGGGCTCTTGCTGAACCAGTGTGAGAGCAACCAAGGAAATAAATACCTCCAAATTTGCCCAGAAAGTGGTTTTTGCTGTCAAAAAAGTATTGAAGTATTGACCTTGCAGATGAGCGGGAGCTGCTGGTCCCTTGCTGCTGAGTGCTCCTGCTGTTGTCTCCTGTGGGCTTCACTGGGGAAGCACTGGCATTTCAGCTGGGGAGGAATCCTGCTCCTCACCTAGAGTCTGCCATCAGAAACCCAGGTATTTATAGCACATGCATCCCTGTGGAAAGTGCTACTATTGTATTTGGGACACTTTAGTTCTATATTTAACTCTGTTACCTCCAGTGAAAACCCTCACATTCTGCCTGTTAATTTTCCTTAGCTTGCTCACAGCTCAATGCCGCATGTCACTTCTTTTTGCCTCTAGACAACTACAGCCATATGCCTGTAGGTTCCAAAACAAGGAGAATGAAAGAACTTTCAGGCAAGTGATGAGATTAAATTGACACAGTGCAGGACTGGAGCTGAAAATGTTAGACTGCTATGCCTTCTCAAATGCCCTTTTACCAGCTAAGAAAATCTGCCTTTAAAAAATGGTTGGGACTTGAGAGTGACATTTAAAAGTGAACAAAGGGAGCATCTGCAGAATTCACAACCAAGGTGTGGGTGAGATCGGGAAGAAAACCCCAGTGATCGACCAGAGGTTTGTCCCAGAGGAGGTCTCAAATATTTGTCCTTCTGTCACTATTTTAGCAAAAGATTAAAATGTCTCTGGGAGCAAAACCACACTCTGGATGGTGTTTGCTTTAGAAGTGAGTCATGCCTGGGAAAACAAACTTACTCAAGATGCATCCCACAGCAAAACAAACTTATTTGAGATCAACTTACTCGAATATCATAAATTAGTCCAATTCCACTAGAATTTGATATCAATTAACCTAAATACAACCTAAATACAAATGTATGTGTTTGTATAAACTTCATTGTTAATAATAAGTGAAGCTCTGGTCATCTCCTCCTTGGGGACAAAAAATGAATTAATTGGTCAGGGATAACTGGAAAAGGCTATAATCTCTGAGGAGAGGCAGAGGGGAAAGTGAAAATATATAAACAATGAGTAAATGCAAAAGACAGATTGAAGCTTCATTTAACTTCTGGAAGATGTTGGAGAAGCTCTGTGAAATGCAGTAGCTGGAAATTCAAAAGCAATGAAAGAAATGAAGATGTTGTTTGAACATGGAAATAAAATTTGATACTTAGAAGCAATTCATAATAGCAAAAAGACTGAAATGTAGCTATTAAGAACTCAAGAGTGGCAGAGCAATCTGGCTGCAGCTCAGTGTGTCAGCTCCTGTGTGCTGCAACATCAACTTGAGTGGACCATTTAAAAGCTTTACCCTTTTTTACTGAAGCTTCATTTCATTCTCAAGTCCTAACCCATCAATTGTTGGTAATTTTTTAATAGATTAGGCACAGAGCTTTGCTTGTTTGGAGGGGATCCCTCTGTGCAGAGCCTGCCTACATTTGCAGTGTAGCTACAGGTTGTGTGCCTGGTTTGACTTGCGCTCCTGTGAGCTCACCCTGAGGGCGCTGTGATTTTAAACACTCTGCCTTATTTTAGTGCAGTGACTGGTTATGATTAAGGGACTTTGCAAGTAGAAATTTGTTTGGGCTAGACGTGCAGATGTAACACCACACAGATTGTATTCTAAAGATACACACGTACCTCTCTGTCAAAATGTGGCTGAGCAGTCAGAGAAGAGGTCGGCAGAAATAAAATATGAAACAAGGGAGGAGCCCTTCACCCGTGTCTACAAATGAGAGCGATGGCATTCCTTCCTACAAATGCACCAGGATCAAGAGGAAAGAGGCCACAGGACTTTGGAGTCTTACCTTTTTTTTTGTTAGGGTTGGGATTAAATGTGTGGCATTTCTTGTTTGGACTTAGATGATCTAGTTCTATTTGAACTACACACTCATAACCTTAGTTCTGTAATTTGACTTTGGAAGTCTTCTTTATGGCCTCAGGTCTAATGTAGTGTTTTCTTGGGGGTCAGTGCCTGTCAGCACAGGAAGTCTAAAATTCTCAGTAACCAGGGCTCTTACACAGGACCATAAAGGAAGAGGTGCAGTATGTACAACCCCATAGTTTTACACTCACTTGTCTTCCACTCCCCTACCTGCTTACCAGCCTTAATTTGTTTTATCTAAGGGAATAGATTGAAATGAAAAATTAAATTAAAAGGGACCAAGTCAACAATTTTTGCCTTGCAGCTTCCTGCAGGGTATGGATTTGGGTCATTTAAAGGAATTTAAATGCTTGACTAGAAGTAGGTGAAAGGTTGGTGTTTTGTCTGTCATTTTGCTGGAAGTGTAATAAACCTCAGGTAACAGGCCAGGATGTTATTGCTCTCAGGTTGATAAAGTCTGCTGCTCTATTCTTTTAAATTACACAACTGCCAAATTATAAACAAACTCCATGGAACACAAGGAGTTCTTATGAATTTTATCTCTTTCATTTTGCCATGCTCAATATCCTGCCCTTTATTAAAGCACCTAAGGGATGGACAGTGAGTATCGAGAAATCTCTTGCTGTTCCCAGGGGTCTCCTCCACCTCTCACTTATTGGACTCCTTGTTTTCACTAAAACTGCTGTCTCTCTTGTAGGAATGGTGTTGTGCTGCCAGACACACATACCTGCAGGGAGGGGAGGTGGCACTTCTCCAGTGACGGGGATGTACAGACTGTGCCCTCTTTGGTGTCTTCTGAGGGATATGAAAACCACCTCTGAAGCACTGGAACCTTTCCTGCTTTGTGCCTTTCTCATGGATATGGGATAAATCCCATCCTGAGACCTCACTGTGGAGTGAAGTCATGAGCAGTGCTTTGGAAGGGATTCTAGGTCACAGGGTTTTTTTAAATTTTATTTTATTTTACTTCTTAAGATACAAATTTAGAAACTCATTAAGGCTTTGTCCTTATGGATTAGACATACTTAAAACAATGGCAGGATTTTCTCCAAAGGATATGATGGAATTTGTTGACAAGATTAAGGACAGGCAAATGGTGTCACCCAAAGCCCACAGGAGTTACTGAGAAGTTTGCTGATAAAGGATTTGGATCTGGCCTCCAGAATTTTGCAGGTGGAAAGAAAAAAATTCAAAGGCAGATTATTTTCCTTCTTATATAAGGAATAATTCATTGCTACTTCCTCACAGAAACCATGGGCATTGATTTTCCATGGATTTATGTGTGGTGGTTTACAAGACTAATTTTTACAAATGCTTTCTGTTGGCAGATGTAAGCAGTGCCCTGCTGCACTGGCTGAACAACTGTCATTAAGCAAATGGTTGTCATTAGCAGGTACTTTTTTAAGCTTCATTTTGTTTAAGCATTTTTTTTTAAATCCAAATATCTGTAGAATTGCAAAGTGGGGAAAAAAAAATCCATATCTAGCTCAAATTGCTGAGAAATCTTTGGGAAATTTATAAACCGTCTTGAAAAGATGGATATAGCTGTACAGTGTTTACTGTGTAATTCTAAATATAATTCTAAATCCTATTAATTCTAAATACAATTTCATGAAAAGGAGCTCAGGGAGAAATATAAATGCATGGGATAAATGGGTCTCTTAAATACATAGACATTCTACATGGAACTTACCTGCCCTGAATTTTTAATTCAGTGATAGATCTCTCTTTTCAGCAGTTTCTTTTTAGAGCAACACCTTTAGCCAAGGGAATGTGAACATTATAATCTCAAAGTTCTATTTCTGGAGGTTTCTTACTCAACATTGAACCATTTATTCTGAGGGGAGAGCTGCTGTGTGAGGTCTCTGGTGTCCTGGTTGGCAAGTTGGGCTCTTCCCTTACCTGCAGTTTGGCTTGTGGGACTTGCACCCAAATACTTGAATCAGCAAAAGCCTCTCTGTGTTTTAAGAGCCCCTGGTTTACCTGATACCTCTGCAGGAATTATTTTACTGACAATTATTTACTAGAGATCTGTTAGTGTTACCTTTGCCTTGAGGATACTGAAGTTCTGTTAATTCCATGGGAAATGCAGCTGCTGATTTCAGCTCTTGGAAGTGCTGAAAGGGATATTTGGTTTTTGGACTCTGTCTCCCTGGGTGTACCTAAACCTCTGGTGCTGAGAATGATGTGCTAGGGATGGGATGGGAGATACTTCTGAAATAAACTGGGATTTATTGAAGATGTTTGGTTTGTCCTGAGAACTATGATTCACAGCTAAACCTTTGTTCTTTTGATGCCAGCTCTGAATGTGTGCTCAGCTACTGTTCTAGACTCCTTTGTGAAAGTCAAAATTACTTCCTGCAAGTGCTTTACTACACTTTCAGTTAATGGTTTTAAAACAGAAATGTGATGTTATTTTCATGACACAATGTTTATTTAAGGTAAATATTAATATCTTCTTAAATATTAATATAATTTAAATTTGATGTGCTACTGCCACAAGACAGATAATTGTTCTTTGAGAAAAATTGTACTGTTGTATATTATACTTCAGGGCAAGGTTAAGACTCAGTCATTCTGCATTATATCTGGACTTAAGAAACAGAAGAGTTATGCATTTAAGAAACAGAGAAGTCATGGATCTCTATTCTTACTCTCTTGCTCCTTTTGGTTTCCACATCTGTTATAGCTTTGATGTGAAATACCTGCAAACTGCAAAATTTTGCTTCATGTAAACTTGAAGAATATTTTTGATTGTTTTCAGTTTCTCTAGGCTTATTTTGTTTCAGTAAGGTTTTGTATCTCTATACAATGAATAATTTTGAAAAGTCTTGAGTCTTCATCTCATTTTTGTAAAATCAAGGGAGATTTTTCTTTATGGCTTTAATGAAAACAAAGCTGGCACTTGGCTGCCTTTGAAAATCAGACCCATAACTTAATAAACAACACATCACTGTCAGCATTTACGGTGGATGTCAATATTTGCAGTGGCTTTAAATGGCATTTACACCATAAATATCCCCATTAGGTTAATCCTTACAGAAGTGGAAGGGTAACTGTTAGCCAAGCCCAGACGGTCCAGGTTTGGCTGGATGCAGAGGGCTCCTTCCTAGTGAATTTGTCCTGGTGGTGTGGTCACTGTGTACTGCGATGTGAGGCAGTCTTTGTGCTAAATGGGATTGGCTCTGGACAAGGGAAAGGGCGATGGAGAGCTCCTGTGGTTTACCAGTCTCAGCCCAAGGGTAGCTCCCATGTTGATGCCAGTGGCAATGTGTGTTCTGCTCTTGGGAACATTTCCTGTCCCTTCTGCCAGGCTGTGCTTCTTGACTCAAGCCAGAGTTCTTCTTATGGTGCCTGTAGCAATTATTAATGCAGCAGTTGTGTGAAAATGCAAATAAGTGTACCTGTTTTGTACAGTAGCTAGATAAATATTGGAGTAAAAATCAGATTGTTGTGCTTTCCCTGGGCTGAAGTGGGAGGACCCACTGAGAACAGCAGTGGCTGTGCTGCAGCAGATTTGCCCTGTGACATTCTCCTGTGCTGGTGAATTCCCTCCTCAGCCTTCTTTCTACCCAGGGAGCCCAAGTCAGTGCATCTAAGGAGCACAGTTTGGACCTGTCACCCTGAGTTCCACCCAAATTCTCCTAAAGGTGTCTAAATCTGTCTCAAATCTACCTTGAACCCAGAGGCACCTGTGGGTGGCAGAGTCACTGTGGTGGCCACGTGTATGTCCTTTTTCAGAACCATCACTAGCTGCTCCAAGGATGAATGTGCCAGGTCTAGACCTTTGGGAAGAGCTGTGGCCCTGCTATGTTCTCATTTGCCAGGGCCCCACGGGCTGTGGGCAAGGCTGTTTGCAGATTGTTCCCAACTTGGGGGCAGCTGTGAGCAAATTCTCACAGCCCGTCCAGGACAGCGTCCATCATTTCAGGCACTGTCTTCACAGCTCCTGTAATATAAAGCAGCTTTTATGTGTTGGCTTTTCATTTTTCTAAAAGGGAAGCTAGAAAGCTTTTATGATTTTCTGACACATGAGCCAGAGAAAGAATAAAGAATACAAAGGTTTTCCTGCATTTTTAGGGAAAATTTCTTCCCTTCACACCTGCTTGCATTGACTAATTCAAGTAAATAAATCAAGACCAAATTTTCAGTCATCCCCTGCATATTAATCATCTTATCCACAGAGCTTCATGTTGTAGCTCTTTAGGATGGGAACCTTGCTTGAGCTGGTTTATTAGAGAAAATATATGTCATGGTCATTGATATCATAATGCTCATTATATTGGTGACACTATCAGAATTAGAAGCCTTTAAAGGAAAATGCCATGAGTACTCACTTCCCCTGGAGCTAAATGAGTGAGTGAATAATCTCTGAAATGAACAGAGTAATTAGACATTTTCTCTCTGGAGATGGGACAGACTCCAGGAATAAATATGGGCAATTCCCATTTTGAAAGGAGCATTTGGAATGGTTACAATTTGTTCCTGTAACAAAACAGGCCAGTTAGAAGCAAAAATGGGGGGGACAATTACTGAAAATACACGTGGAAAGAAACAATGCTTGAGTCCCTGGCTGGCTGCAAAGGGGATGCAGAGCAACAGTCAAAATGCCAGAAGTACCAGTGACATGTCAGACAAATTGTAGAAGTGACAAGCCACCTGATGGCCAAGGACAGCCCCGTCTCGTGCTGGCTTAATTAGCATGAATGATGGTTCTGTGTGAATTCTAACCCCTTGAAAAAGGCCATAAATGGCACCCTTGAAAATTGACTTTTTCACTCCTTCCACACTTGTCTCCTCACCTTTCTTTGCAACAGGGTATAACTTCATTGGAATGTTATTTTTTTTGGGGGGGGTGGGGGGTGTTCATTATTTTAAAAAATTATTTTGCTTAAATAAATCTTAATGTTAAATCTTCATTCCTATGGCCTCGATTTGCCTGCCTTTTTCAAAGAATGTTTCTCTTTTGTGGGTCCTCCAGCTGCAAAAATATACAATGTGAATGTCTGCCCCAGGGTCAAAGTGATCCTTTTGACTGTGAAGTTTAACAACGTGCATATTTATCCAGCTGATAAACATGTCAAATGTAAGAGATGTGTTTGACAAGGAGCAGAATTTTGAGGACATGGAGGCGGATGTCCACTCTTACTGCTTTCTGTGGGCTTTCAGGTGTTTTTGTTGGCACATCTCTTAAGTGTTCAAGGTAGTAGTTTATGCTAATGGGTGATGTGAAGATGTAAGGAAGTTAATTACTTAGTTAATAATTCCCAGTCTCAGATAATATCAGGCAACAAGAGTAATGAGAGTGGAGTAAAATCTGAAGAGAATTTCAATAAACCCAGAGTAAAAACTGCAAAAGGACTTGGGAGTTTGCTTAATTGATTGTCTTCATGGAGAGAGTAGTCATGTTTAAAATTGTCCATGCATCATTTGTTCTAATGTAATAACCAAAAACTATATAAAAGTAATTTTATTGGGGGGCAAAAAGTAATTAACCTGTCCTGTTACAATGAAACATATTTTTTTTTCTAGAGAGAATTCTGCTGGGGACAGCAATCCTACCTTTGATTATGTGCTATTGCATTATGAAAACTGCAATTCAGTCATATTCATCTTTTGTTCAACAGATTTTCACTTTAGTGGGATATGAGCTATCTGAGCTTAAATTTGGTATGAGGCTTCTTAAAGGTGACATTTCAAATAAACATTTTTTTCTGCGGTGTTTTCAGAGAGGAGCTTTAACAAATGATGGCAGATGTGAAATAATCTCACAGTCAAGAAATATGACTTGGATGTTTTGAGTTACAACATCCTTAATTTTTCTTTTGCTTGATTAACTTTTGTATTGTGGTTCCCAGGAGCAGGAGGAATTAATTCCAGTGTGAAGTGACTCACTCCCTGTGCTCTGGGAGAGTGAGCTCTGGGGTGAGAAGGGTTTAAGGTCTCTTGAAGTCTGGAGCAGCAGGTGAGAGGAAATTCTGGTGAAAACTGGGAGCTCCCCAGTAAGAAGGTAAAGGCTGGTGTTTGGGAACTGACTTCCAGCAGGATGCACAGATACCCCAGTCCATAATAATCAATTCCAGACTGCTGGAGAGGGAGGGGGATTGTCCTGGGACAACTGTCCCAGCCCTGCTCTGAGGCTGCAGCTCTGAACCTCACAGTGTTTACAGCTGGGTGGGTGTGAGGGAGAGGCCACATTTGTATCTCGTTTTGGTCCCTGCTTTGGAGGTTTCAATTGGCTGATATGGAAACTCTGGGAGGAAGGACCCTGGCCTCCCCTGGGGCTTGGTGACCCCCAAGTTACAGCAGCACTGGCACAGAGAGCAGGGGATGCAGCTGAACCTGTGCCCAGCTGCCCCGTATGTGAATGTGTCCATATACATACAAAATAGAGATATCCACACTATATAACTATCCCATTTCCATCTCCCTCTGCCCAGGAGTCACAGAGCAGGCTGCTCAGCCCTGTGCTGTGTTCACCTGGTTCCCTCCTCATGCCGGCGGAGCGGCTGTGCTTGGCTCAGCCACGGCTCTTCCTGGTGCTCCCACATCCATCTTCTCCAAAGCTTTCTGAGCTATTTTACTGCCCTGTGCGAAGGGAAGTGCTTTGTGGCACTGCACCCTACCAGGGTGCCAAGGCAGTGGTTCACAGAGATGTGCATCAGCAAGGAGCAGTGGAATTTAAACTGACTTTTAATCTGTGCTGAGACGTGAACTGGGAATTATGAAGAACACTATTCAATGAAATCCGCTGTCCTTAATAGACAGGGAGGGGGGTGCTTAACATGTAGGGCAAAGTAAGTGCTGGATCTGATTGGATTAGTGGCAAATTTAATCTAGTGGATGACTCTGCTGATTCAACAGTATACTTTTTTCCTAGGATCAAAGTGACTTTGGCTTGACATGTGATCTGCTCACTACCCTAAATGAACTGTAGGCTGGATGGGTTGGATTCTGTATTTCAACAGGGAGAGGAATTTGAGAAATTGCAATGTACAGAAAGGGAAATTATCTTTTTACAGCATGGGAAAGCTTTTCTATGATGCAGAATTTCCTCAGATATGCTCCCCAAGCAGCAAATAGTAACTCACAAAGATGTTATCCCAGGATAGCAGCACTTACTACAGAATTTATGAAAACTTGTGGTTTCCATTATGTTTTTCAAGCCTGAATCCAAAGGACAAATATCCTTTTTCCTGTAAAGAGGGGTATCTGACTCAGCAGATTTGATTGAATGTACTTACAACAGGAAGATGAAAGACTATGTAAATAGGTTAAGCATGGGCTGAATTTTAGTGGGAAAAGCCTCTTGAGACTTCAGAAGCACTTTAAAAATTGATAGTCAAATCACAAGTGTCCTGCTTTTGTCCTAGGTCAGTGTGTTAAATATTGAAGAATGATGTGTCTCTGATTAAAGACAAGGAAAACTGATTTGGATCTTGAAGTAATTCATGCCCGTGATGGGATGTCCTGTTCCTAGAAAATCCCTGTGACACAGGGAGTGTCTGAACACCTGGGAATTATGAACTGAGGCAGCTATTGTTGCAAGGGAAGAGCTTTATACAAAAACCATTTTCAACTTATTTTAATATATTTGTTTTGTGGTTCTGAAGTGTACTCTCTTGCTCTGACTCAGACTGTTGTGTGGTTCTGTGAAAGAAACTGGTTTGGTGGCCCCAGAAGTGGATATTATTTGGGCTTTGGCAAGAACAAGGAGAACAAAGCAGGAATTGACATGAATCAATGAACAATTACAGAGACAAAATTGGCCTCTGCCAATGTTTACTGTGTCCAGTGGTAAATGCTTGATGCTCAAGGGATTGTAGACTTTGGATGTAATGGATGGCAAGAAAAAAACCACAACTTTACAGGGAATTCTTTACCACCACATGAGAAACATTGTGTTTATGTTAAAAATGAGGCAGTAAAGATAAGGTTCTTTTCTGAAAATAAGATTGCTGATTGTTACTCACTTCCTCTGATTTTACTTTCCCAAACAGGTCTGCATTCTGCTGACTTCCACAAGGAAGAGATTTGTCTCACTTGTTAGTTTTAACTGAGGTTATGCTTCCTTTCTTTGACTCTGCCACCCTGTCTTTCCCTTCCAAAAGCTTCAAGTCCAGGTGTGAGTCTATCCCTTAATCTTTCTCTTACTAAAATTTCCAGTCTTTAGAGATCTGTCATATTCTAAGACAGAGCAGTAACTTGTGTGTTCTATTCTTAACTAATGGAGAGGGTTTTTTACCAAAATATAAGATGTCCTCAGTAAGGACAGTAATCAGCAAGCTACTCTGGAAGTTTGCACAAGGCTTGATGGCTATTAAATAAAGCTCCTGATGTTTAGGTGGAAATGATGTCTCATTAAAATGTTGGTCAGGCAGCTCTCAGTCCTTTTTACTTAGGTACTTCACCAAAAAGAGCTGCCACAGTCATACACCTAGGGGAGCTTGGTTTGATCCTGTTGCTGCCTTTCCTCTTCCTCTGATGATGGGAAGTATCCCTTGGAGTCAGTGTTCCTGGGAGTGTGGGTACAACCCTTCAGAGCATCCTTGGATCTCAGACTAAAGGAAGGACTTGACTAAAACCAGGAAAAGCCTGTGGCCTTCTAACAACCCCCTCTTGTCACCTCATGTATTCTGCAATGGGAGCGCTTTTCTTGCTGTCCTGCCCAGGGTAAATTGTCCCTGTGTGCTGACTGTGGAGTCAGACCCTGGTCAGCATAGAACAAATGCTCTCAGCAAAACCCAGCCAGCTGTGTCAGCTGCCTCTGCAAGCATTCCCTTACCAAAAAGTGAAAATGAAACCTTGGAGTATTATCTTTGAACAAACAGGTGTGGGAGCAGGAGGAGACTGAGGTGGAAAAATGTTGGAATCTGTGATATTTAAATGATCTTGAGATTGTAGAAAGTCTCTGTCTCCCATCCCTGCTGCTAAAGAAGAAGATGTAATTAGTCTGTGTTTTTTTTTTAAGGTTGTTTATTCTTGTTTATCTATAACATGTTCTGTCTGACTTGCAGCAGGTCTGTCTTGTAGGATAGCGTGTGAGTCTCTGCCCCTCAGTGGGATGTTATAAACATTATATACCAGAAACTATGTGTGTTATATTTACAATAATGTGCTAATATCTATTACTTATGTTGAACAGTGTGTCTCTAGTCTAAACCAATAGAAAAATGCCAACACTACAGTGAAACATGGAAGGCATGAAGAAGAAGAAAAAGGACAAGGCATGCCAAATTTCTTCCATCTTGCCTCCTTCATCTTGCCTCTTGAACTCCTTATCTAGAATCCTAAAATTCTACTTTTGCACCCGTGCCACACTAATTATTATTTATATCAAACACTCAGAGCTTGTAATTCCTCCTATAAGGTTGAAAACTCTTTTCCATGGACAGAGATCAGAGACAGTGTCTCTTCGGGCTCTGTACAGGGGGGTTATCGACCCCCTTGCCAGGATCACAGACCTTCCAGGGCAGCCAGAGGGATGCCCTGGATTCCCATGTAGAAACTCACTACTGCTTCCTGGGAGATGGGCTAGAGATATGTTAAATGCCTTTTTTGCCTTCTACCTGTTTGTAACAGTGGGACAAAAAAAAAAAGGTACAACCAGACCAACCCAAAGCCCAACAAATAAAATAAAAGGAGCAGTTCCGATTGCTTCTCACTCCACTTGCTGCCCAAGTGCTTTGGTCACAGTTTGGCTGATGAGGGCATGGTGGAACTTGCCATTGCTGGAAGAGTTCAGTTCCCTTTCCCTTGGGAAGAGCAGGCTGGGTAGGGAGGTGTGGAGCTCTCAGTGGCTGCTCTGCCAGAAGAGTGTTTATGCTATGGGAAAAGTGAGCTTATTCTGGCAGCTTTCCAGGAAGACTTTGTTTAGTGTGCCAGCTCTTTCTGGGGTCGGTGTGTCATAATTGCTGCTCTGGGAAGAATGGGAGGAAAGGAGATTCCTTTTAGTCTCTAATCCTGTGCTCTGTTTTTCTGTCAGTCTTCCTTAGGACTGGAAGCTTCTGTGGGCTTTGAAGCTGAGGGCAGTTCTCTGTACCCTTAGTGAGGCCAGGATTGCTCGTTGCCTTCTAGGAAATACCAGGGGGGCTGGGGTCATCATGTGTAAGATTTAGGGATGTTGTTAACAACTGTAGTGTGCCAAATCTTGGTGCCCCTGAGGCAATCCCATAACCATGTAGAGCAGGTGGATGCAGGAAACACTGTGGATGTTCTGTGGTTTTCCAGCTGGGGTGGATGGGTTTCCTTCTTGTGCTCAGCATTCTGTAAAAGACGTGACAGAGGGGAATTGATACAGGTTTTCTCCTGCTGGTAATTAATACAGGTTCCCATAGCTGAACTTGAAAACAGGGTTTTCAAGGAAAACCCTTGGAATTTTCAAGGAGGTGAAAACCTGAGGAATGGCAAGAAATAGTGCACGTGGATTGGAACTGGTTGTCAGGCTCACAGAACCCATGAAATATATAATCCCTCTGCAATAATTTATTGCTACAGATCTTGTGCTCATGTCCTAAGCCACACAAAAAACCTCATTCATAAATTTAATTTTGGTCCAATTGTTTCTGCCAAGTTTTTCTTTACAGGAAAAAAATCCCACAGATTTCTTTTGACCATATCCACTTCCAGCAGTGAAAAGGAAACCAGGCATTCCTGGAATTATTATCAAAATTCCTTTGTCTCCACAGGGCAGGAAGCCAGACTGCTTTGTTTTAATAGCATTTTTCTAGCCTTAAACATCCAAGGCTGTCTATGTGTCTCAATTTTCTCCAGAAATTTCAGGATTCTGGCTGCATTTTGTTTCAGCACCTGCCCTAACAGCTCACTTATACACTGATTTTACCTTCCTTGCCCACAGCACTACAGTATCTGAGCTTTGTAATAAAGCAGTAGGCAGGCTGCTTTGCTTGTGTTTCTAACATGACTTGCTGTGGTCATACATATGTAATATAATAGGATTTGTAATCCCCTCCCTCCCCCGACTGTTTTACTTGGAGTTTTCCTGCAGTTTGTAGTTAATAGTCACATCTGTATTTTGTGCTCAGAATTCTGGGAATAATTCTTTTTGTCTTCATTCTAAAAATTCTCAGGAGATTCAGTGCTACTTTGTAGCTGCTGGTAGAGAAAAATGTCAGTATTTTCTTAGTTTTCTAGAATTTATTCTATTTCATAACATTACTATATTTTAGTTTAATTAGTAGTATTAATCAGAGATGATAAATGAGACAGTACCACCTGCTTGGAAAATGCTCATGTGTCTCTTTTTGCTTTTTGCCTACTGATGGGGCAAATTCTTCCTCCTTGTAACCCTATAAAAGAAGCTTTCAGGGTGGCCAGAACAAAATCCCGGTAATTTGAGGGCAGGTAGTTCATAGAAAAACCCTCCCCTCACATGCACATGTCCACAAAAACACATGCACTTGATTTTTGAGTCTGACTCATCTTTCAGCGTGTGTTGAGTGACCCAGGAGGGGCAAGAAAGGGCCCTGAGGAGCTCTTCATGCTGGGGGCAGAGGATTAGTCACAGATTGCTGTGTGGAAAACTCGACCGCTTCCAACAGCCTTTGGAACCAAAAGCCCTGCACAATTATTTGTATGCTTGGGGAGAGGAAATGCGTAAATTGCTTTCCCATTAGTGAAGTAACCAGGAAATAAACAGAGGAGACCCTGTTTAAAATGTTTGTTTTGTTCCGATGGTGGCGATAAGCAGCTGGGAGAGCTCTCAAGTTGGTCTGCTCTCCCTGAGTCACCCCAGCTTTATCTGGATGTCAAAGGTCCTCATGCTGAACACAGCACTATAGCCCTGCAAATGGATGCAGATGATTTAGAAACTTGAGGAATTATTGTGACTACTGATTTGCCATTTTCAGGTGCTAGAGCACTTCCTGCATTTGGCTGATTTCATCCCAGTTGGATGAAATGGTGCTTGGAACATAAAAGGAGAAGGTGCTGGGCCAGCTGACAGCAGTAGCATCAATTCCTGTGTTTGAGGGACAGCTCAGAGGGGCACATGGATTTGGGAATGGCTGTGCTGGGTGGCTGATTTGGATGGACACACATCTACAAGGGTGGACAGACCATTCTGTGGACAGCAATTGGAGTTCTTTAGTTAGGGCTGCATGGAGAGATAGTTGAGTCTTGGAAGCTGCTGTAAATTGAAAGTACTTCCTTGGCCTCTTTGGTCAGGAAGATGCTCACAACATCTAAAGCCCAAGGATCAGCTTCACTAACTCTAGGGAGAAGTCCCCTCAGTGTGGGAACTGCCAAGCAGCAGCACCCTAAGGAAGCTGCCACATCTGCTGTGCTGGGATCTATGGGATCACTGGATAAGTCTCAGATGCAGCCCAGGGAATGGGCAGCTGGTTATTGGGTGTGCTGACTTGAGAAATCTCAGCTGGCTTTACTACAAAGACATTGCAGATTCACAACCAGGAGCAAAGGAGAGGACAAGGGGCTCCATTTACCATGTCTGGAGGTAAATAATTATAAATCATTAATTCAACAGCTTTATAGTAGATAAATGTGCCTAATACAGCTCTCAGTAATACATGCTGTGCTTTCTTACCTCGTGTTAAGATTACTTTAAATTATGAGTGTTTTAATATAACAGCAGTGTATGTTGATTGCAGTGAAATAACACTGAAAAGGCACTGAGAAACAAGGAAGTTGTTTATGTGGATCATTTGGCTTCCTCTGAAGCCCTGAAAAAACATAGGTTCCCCTGTTTTATGCCTCTCAAGTGTTGTTCTGCACCAGTCTGTGATGTCGGTTTGTATCTGTGCACTTTCACAAAATAAAGCACAGTCTGATTAGGTCCCAGGCCCAGTAGCAACAATGTAGGATGCAGCCACAGGAATCTCAGGAAGGCAGCAAAGGCAGCAAGGCAGGGGAAAATAAGGGTTTAGGACAGAAAGAATCTCACCATGTGGATAGGAAAATATGTAACAGGTGCCTAAACTCCACGCCTGGGAAAGCTTGGAAGCCTAAATGTGGCAGGGTTTGGCTTGCAGCACCTGAGTCCCCTCTGCCCTGGCTGCTGGGAATCTCTCTGGAATAATCCCATAATCCCAGCATCATATCAGGAGCACAGACATACTAATCAGACATGCAGATCTTCAGAAATTAGGGAAATAATGAGCTGAAACTGGGCCAGTATCCTCTGATGGGTGATGTCTGGTCTGCTCTGGCACAGGAATCTTTCTGCCCCTAAGGTCAGGATATTTGGGCTATCAGGAACATGCAGGAGACATCTGCAGAGTTTTCTTAAGTGTTGAAGTAGTTGAGTGCTGATTTCAGCCAGAGCTGGACATTAGGCTGATTCCTGATCCCTGAGATTCCTCTTGGGGCTTTCCCTCCCAGGGATTTTGTCTGGAGACATGGATGCTCCAGCTGTGGATGGAGTGAGCAGCCCAGGAGATGTGAGTCCCTACAGAGCAGCATGCTTGCACTGAAAGATTATAAATACCTTATCATTTGATTATTTCTTTTCATTATCCCCTCCCCAGTCATTCCAAAAGAGTCTTACAGAGGAGATGGAGACTGCACCAACAGCCTTTCCCTCTGCTATTGTGTAGCTGCCAGATGAAATGGATAGAGCTAATTTTTCCTTGGAATTAGGTTCTGTGCTGAGATTGCTGGTGCAGTATTTTTACAAAATAATCTTTCCTGCTTTAAATGTGCCCAGCTCAGGAGGGACAGGCAGGTGTTACTGTACCATAGCTCTTTAATGGGCTCTGGAAGCAAGAGGGTGGTTTCAGTCCCCAGGACATATTTAATCTTGTATCATCTTTTACTGCATTTAATAGCCTGTCCTACATCTTAATCACTCAGTGTAGAGACATTAATCCAAACCCTCCTTTTGTCCTGATAAATTTAAATCTCCACTGGGTTTGCCCAGGCTGGCCTGTCTTCCTCTGGCAGTTCCCCAGCTTCTGCCCTTGCCTGCTCATGAGAATGCTCCTCATTTCTCCTCATAGAGCTGGATGACCGTGCATGTCTTGCTGCTTTTTTGCTTGAATGCTTGCTGGTTTTGTAATTTTTCCTGCTGTATTTACAGGAGGCTTTGGATGCTGTGTGCACACCACAGTTCATGCAGGATGCACCTTTTGTAGGGAATGAAGCATCAGCAGAATCAGAAGTGAGGAAAGGAGCTGGAAACAAAGCCTGAGAGAGTGGCCCTGCTGCCCCTCTTGCTTTCCTGGCACTGCCTGCTGCCCAAACATCTCTTGGAGCCCCTGCCTCTCCATCCAAATTTATCCCATATAAAGACCAGGGACTGGTGGTTTCACTGGCACGGGGAAGAGGAAGAGTTGTGGATTGGCTGTTCCCCACAAACTTAGGTGGCTATTGATCTTTGTTGTGAGTTTTTGCATCTCTTTTGTAGTTGTAGCAAGAAGATGTTCAATGGTTCAATGGTTTCAGTAATGTGAGAGCTTCTATTTCTGTACTCTCAGGAACATAATTTGAATTTGGGATTGAGTCACACAGCCAGGAACTCATAAAAGAGGAGTTTACAGGTTGGATAACTGCCTCCTAACAAGGCATTAGATGAGCATAAAAATGATTGAGAGGTTTGGTCTGATTCAGAATTCCTGGAGATGTGGTTTTCAGGTTTGGCCTAAGCTGTAGTTTGCCGGGTGGAAGCCAATGTATTTTTAACTTGAAATTCCTGTATCAATAATAAAATTCTCACCTAAACTAACTTTTCTAAACTATGTCTCTTCAACATCTGATGATTGGAGCTTGTGAATTACAATTTTATGAGCTAAGAAAAGTGGCTGTGAGCATCTGTAGGGAGTTGTGGGGATTGTGCGTGATCTTTAGTGCATGTGTTTGGTGTCTCAGTCAGTTTGACCCTCTGGTTTTTGCACAAATCATGCTGTTGCTGGGATGCTTTGTATTTTCACTTACAGTATTTTTTTTCATTTTGTCCTGTAAATGTTCATTTAACAAAGGCACAGCAGAACTGGGGAAAGCTGGAGGTGGCTCTGTGGATACAGTAGCTTTTCAGTGGCCAGGTTTGCAGAGGATCCAGGGCTTTTTCAGCAAGGGACACTTAAAATATGCAATTTCATGTAACCGGGAGGCATCGGTGTGAGGTTGAGATTCCTGTGTGAAATCAGGCGGAAAGCTGGAAAAGACAAGCCTGAGAATAACCTGGCTTGGGGAAGGAAGCAGATGAAGGCACTGGGCTGGAGGGAGGAATGAGTACTTCAGCTCCCTTCCCTAAGCAAAGCTATTCTCAGCTGGTGCCTTTTCCAGCCTTCCACTGGATTTTGTGCAGGAGCCTGCTGAATATCCATCCCTCTTTCCTCTGCTGTGTTTCCAGTCTAGGGGCTGTGCCTGCTCTTGGGGACATTCCTAATGAGCTCAGGAGAGTCCAGTGGCACAGGGACAAACCCGAGTGTTGAGTAAATGGAAGCAATAAAGATTTTACCCATCATAAACCACAGCCAGTCAATACCAAAACAAGCTGACAGCCAGTGGGAAAGGCTTCAGCAACAGCATAATGGGTTTGATTTTCTGTTTCCATCAATACTGTGCCAAATGCATTTAGTACAGGCTGAAGGGGAGCTAACAGAGTATCAAACAGGCCGGCAAGGAAAGCCTTGCTTTTGTCACCTCTAGCACCAAAAAACCCCAAACAAAGCAAGGTTAGTGTTTCAGCAGCCCATTAGTGTGACAGTGTTATCCAACTGTTAGCAAGAGCATTGCCTCAGCTGACATCTGAGATATTTTTTAGGTGCTCCTGTAGTTGAATCTTTTATTCTCCATGCAAGGTTTTAAAACCTTTTTTTAAATTGTTTTAAGCAATTTTTTTCCAGATAAATTCATCTGGAAATTTTGTTGCACCTAAAGCAAAATATGCAACAAAACCTCCAGTCTAAATCAGTAATATTCTTAAGTGGAAGCCAACATTATATTTCTAGTAAGTTGTATCACAGGCAGCATTTGGGTGACGTGGGGCATTCCTTGGTGACCTTGGGAAGAAGCAAAGCCTTGGGAGAGCCTCACCACAGGGATGTGTGTGCACAGTCAGCCCAGACCTGCTCACTAAACTGCAGGTAATTAGCACCTGTCTGTGTGTAATGTGTGCTGAAAAGGGGAAACATGGCACGTGATGCCTGAGAAGTGTCTGGTTGCCACTGCATTGTGGATATTTGAACCAGCATGTGCCAGCTTTTCCCTTTCCTAGGATTCAGTTTTGACATTTGGTGAACTAGCTCAGCTTAGTTAGTTTTATTTTTAATTACTGGGAGAAGTCAAGAATTGCTGAATCCATAATCACAAGGAATCTGAACTTGGGGCTGGAGAATTTCAGACAACAGCAAGACTGAGAAATGCAAGCCCTGTCTTAGTGCCACGGTGCTCACTGTCCCAAAACTTCCTGGGAGTATGTGTCTTTGTCATAAATAGCTCCTAAACATTTTGGTGAGCTTAATAAAATCCTGCCTTGGGCAGATGTCTTTCTTTCTACATGAGATCACTAATCCCAGCGTCACTGCATTGTGGGGGAGTTCGGCTGCACTCTAAAAAAAAGTTTTCCAGCACTTCTTCAGTAAGGGATGTTATGTAAGATGTACAGCCCTAATAGAAAATCACAGGAGACAGGGCTAAAAATGACCTTGGGAAGTCTTCTGACCCTGCCCTGAGGAGGTAGATGCTGCCAGTGCCAGTTCTGAGTGCAAGGGGTGTAAATTGCTGAGAGTGTAAATCCAATAGTGCCATTTAATTTTTTTATATCCAAACAAGGTAGCTGAAAGGAGATGGATTGCAGTGATAGCATGTCTCAGTCATGAATATTAATATTGAGGCAATTAAATCAGATGACTATGAATTCTAGGACAGGGAGATGCTTTGCATGTCATTGAATCTGTTCCGCAGTTAGCAGAGAAACCCCTTCCTAAATGTGTGGAGCCGCCAGTTAGTTACAGGAGGGTTTAGAGTACCCCTTGCACAACCTTGGTTTTCATTTCCCATTTATTGAAAAATTATTTAATTATCACTGCAGTGTGCCGGGTGTGGATTTGAATGACCAAAATCTGATTTGATGCGCAATTATTAAATTCCTCCCAGCACAGTGCAGGAATCTCAAAGGTCTTTTCCAACCTAATGAATTCTGTGGCTTTGGAAGAGCACCATAACAAATGGAGTTTGTTGAAGTTGAATGTACCTCAACCAAACTCTTGTTGCCACACATCAAAGTATTCCTACACCCAACATGCTGAATCCTTTGCCCAGGTAACTTTTTGGCAGTTTCCCTCATTTATACTCTCAGTATTTAAAATTGTGCCCTGGGATGTGGCTCCCAAGGATTCTGGAGACCTCCTTTAGGAACATGAATACCAAAGCAGGAAGTGCTGTGAAAACAGAATCCAGGTGAATTTTGCATTATCACCAAATCATGTTTTTCCGTTTTCTGGCCATGAGGATGTGAGGACTACCTCAGAACAGCCTTCTGTCCAGCTCTTGGGTCTCCCATTCTGTCTTTCCCTCAAGTACTCCTCTGTTGGATAAAATCCCTTCCACCTGCTGTACTGAGCTTGTTACTCCAGTTCCTATGACAAGCAGAAAAGTAGGTTGAACCTCTGGGGTTTTACCTTCTGTGGGGTTCTCATCCCTTTTCCAGGGATCTAGTAAGTGTACAGAGGATCTCAGACTTTAAGATGTTCTCCAGTGCAGTCCCACAGCTGCCTGTGAGTTGTAAGCCTCAAAAAATAAAAAAAAAACAAAAAAACAACAGAACCAAAACAAATGCAGGAAGAAAAAGGAAACTATCTGAATTTAACAAAACATCCTCACCCATTCTAAAACAGCAGAGGGTAATCTGGCCTAAAGTATATTATGAATTCCTTGCTAGACTGAGACCAAACACAGTCATATAAAAATGGATGAAGCCAATGCACAAATATGCCTTTGGCAGCAATGTGTCTGATAAAGTTTGACATAACCCCCAAATATCTCCTTGCTTCAAGAGTATGGATGTCAAAAGAAAAAGAGATCAGCTACGTAAATATTGATGTCTTACAACATGTTAGAGTGACAGATGTGGAGAGAGGGTGAATTGTCACTGAATTTCCCTAAGAGCAAGATATTTCTAATAGTTCAGAAAATAGTTTTATTTCAGCCCTGGAATTAAGCACTGCATATTGATCGTGTCCTCAATGATGTTAAGAGCACAGGAAGCTCAAGGAAGGAAGCTCATTTGGTAGTAACCCATTCCTGAGAATGGGAATTTTCCCAAATTGTTACATCCTTAGCAATGCTTTACAAAGGGAGATGGGAAGGAGTGGAAATCTTGTAACCCAGGGGCCCACAGGAGTCAAATCTGGCAGTAATGACATGAGCCAGTGACTGTCCTGTTTGCACAGGTTGTTCCAGGGCAGAAGAGATGGATCATACAGGTCTTCTCATAAACACTTTTAGTGCAACTTTTGTTTGATTGGGTTTTTTGAAAGTTTGTGGACAGTGTTTCACTTCATGTGTTTTCAATTTCTCTGTCTGCTATGTCCTTGACTGACTTTTTTTCCTCTAAGCTCATAACATCCCAGCATAAATATATTAACAGATCCTGAAATATATATGGGTCTAGTCTGTGTGTCAAGAAGACTCACATATATTAGGATTTGCTTGCTCAAGCCTTTGGTAGATGACCTGATTTTTGCTTTTAATCAGATTACAAGAGGAGATTTAAGTAACTGTTTCACACTTCGGAAGGGTTAAGAGGCACAGAGATTCCAGACCAAATCCTCAGCTGAAAGGAGCTGGCATTGGGAAGTTGAGAACTGAGGCAGTGTCGTGTGATTTGAAGCAGCAGGGATCTCTGCTCTGGACTCCCAACAGATGAGTGAAGGAATAAAACTAATAAGAGGCAGATGTTGCCAAGAGGTGTGTATTGTCTGAGGAAATAAGGAATGCTCAGCCAGGAAATCACAGAAGGCCTGGAGCTGAAGAGAATTCAGAGGGGAGCTCACATGGAGGGAACTGGTGGGCACAGCTGGGAAGTTGGATTCGAGCATGAAGTCCAAACCCACACTGACACAGCAGTGAACCTGTAACCAAGGAATTTAGAGCTGGCCAGTGCCAGAGGGAGCTCCTGATCCAGTTCCTCTGACAGGATGGGTGCTCAGGAGCCATCTCACATAGAAAACAGCAGAGGGAGAGGTCGGGATGTGCTAGGGGCTGTTGCCTGTGCTAACAGCTGTGATGGAGAGGGAGCTCCCGCAGCTCTTCCCAGGAGTGCCTGTGCTGGGAAGGAACTGATTTGGTGGGAGGGTCCCTGTCATAGGGAGTTAATTGAATGAGCTGTTCACCTACTAAGTGCTCATCTGAGCCAGGCTCAGCAGCTCTCCAGAGATGCACCCATCACTAACTATGAAAATCCTCACGCACCAGAGCATGCAGAACCTCAGATTACCTCTTCCTCTTTTATTGCACAAGGCTATTTTTAATCCAGTGCCTGGCCGGGCATTAATCATCTTTGACAAATTACTGTTTGTTGTCTTCATGTTGGGTAAATTCCCATGTATATTTTAGCCTATTGCAGTCATGTAAGAGCAGTAAGTGACACCTTATTTCCCTTATTTTACGGGCAGGCTGCAGTAGTGTTGAGCTATCAGAGGAAATTCATAACCAAATCAATCTATCAATTTAAACCATTGAACAGCTGTGCTGCCAACACAGCTTTGAAGGACTGTATCAGCCATCAGCACTGCCCTGATAGCCATGGATTTCATACCATCAATCATCAATTTTGCTAATTACATGGCAATGTGAGTACACACAAATGTGTGATGGGAATTGACATCTTAGAGGAAGTTGAGTGGATCAGTGAGTCAGGAATGAGTACATGAGAATTCCACCTACATACAAAGAGGTGCAGTCACAGCAGTTTTTCTGCACCTTTTTTCTGACACTTGAGTGCTATATTCCTAGACATGTGTCTCTCTTAGATCCAGGACTTTGAGAGCAGCACTTCTAAGTGACCCAAGAAATGTCTGATGGTAAAGCTTGTGGGTGCTTTTAGTGTTGGATTAGGGATCTCTCTTATGTCAAGTTCTTGGGAGCGGGCTGGAAGTGACTCATGTTCTTCACAGTGCACCAAAGGTTGCCCTTGTGGAGGTCAGCAAGTGCCTGGTGTGCAGAGCAAGCAGGGCTTGCTCTTTGTGCAGTTCTGAGGGCAGAGCAGGGCAGTGGGAGTGTGTCCCTGGCATGTGGGGGAGAGGAGGACACGCTGAGAGCTGCACTGTGCCCCGGCAGGTCCTGCTGTCAACCAGCTGGGAACCTCCCAGACCCTGGGGACACGCAGCTGCCTCCCAGCCCAGCCCCAGCTGTGGCAGCACGGCCTGGCAGGAGCTGGGGTGCAGCCCAGGAGCTGCAGGGCTGCCCGGGGAGGCTGTGTGTGCCCCAGAGCCCCGGGACTGTGTGAGGGCTGCCTCTGACCCCGGCTGCCCGCACGGCACCATCTGCTCTCCCTGGGCTCCGCAGTGCTGACCCCGTGGGATAATGTGTTATCTGCGTGGAGCGTTTCCAGGTGCGGGTGGGTTGGAAGAACTCAAGCCTGTGTTGTCTTTCTGTGAGATTCCTTGGGCCTGAGAAAGGGCCACCTTAAGGTGCAGAATCACAAGCAACAAGGAATTGATCGGTTCCAGGATCAGTGTTTTTTGCTCTGCCCTGGGAAGAGCCGAGTGGGATGTTCCATGGATATTTGAGAGAGGTGGTCTGCTGTGAGTACAAGTGAGAGTGCAGCGCAGGCTCTGGCACTGGTAAACACAAGCAGATGTCTGTGGATAATACGAGTTTTTTTTTCTGTTTGATTTTTTAGAATCAACCTTGTCCTATGTTAGGCAGCTGGAGGCCAGAGTAAGACAGCTGGAGGAGGAAAATCGCATGCTGCCCCAGGTGGGTGCCAGCCCCGCGGGAGTGCCCAGGCTGCAGGGGGACCAGCAGCCCCTGTCCTTTCTGCGTTTGAACACTCACATAACCAAAGGCTCTCACATCTGTTTGCTCATCGTGCTGTATTTGAGCAGGGGATTCGTTTAATGCTGTGACAATGCTTTCATTAATTTTTTTCCTTTGCAGGCTGTGATACCTTGTTAAGAAAAATTTCCTGGAAACTGCTACTTCTAATTAATTAATTAATTAATCAATCGCTTGGGAATCACAGTGAACTGACCCCTTGCATTCTGGCTTTATTCCAAGTGGTTCTTGTTAAAATATCAACTACTTTTTATAGTTAATGAAAATATTTTGCTCTAAAAGTACAAACATTATAAGTAATAATTGGGTTATATTATTTTTAATACTTTAAGGACTATATTAGCTACATTAATGCAAGGCTGAAAATCAATTGAATAAATAAACAAATATGATGTTAAAAGTTTTCCTAACACATTTACAAGAATGAAAAGTTTAAAAGTCTGGTACAAATAAATCAAAGACACTTGTAATGTTCATATATACACATACCTACCTACTAGAATGTATTTCTATTATATTTCATTAAATAGTCCTTAGAAAAACCCTTAGAAAAATCCTGAGAAAAAACAGATCTTCAAATGAAGTTGCCCACTGGAAAAGAAAAGAAGTTGGATTTTGTTTAAATTGAACACTAGTCTTTGGTCTGATGAGGAAAAGTGCACTTTGTTGGACTTAGTACCATTGTTTGACTGTAAAATCCAAGGTAACAGTGATTTAGTAAGAAGTAAAATCTGCTGTCTCAGATTTATTGCCCTTTTCCTAAGGCAGATTTTAAGTAAAGTGTGGTGGCTTTTCCCCACACCTTTCATATGACAGCTGGAAGGGCCTCTACAGCTCTTTGCTTGGTGACCTTGGGCACTTTGGTTCTCTCTACCCTAATTTTTGGATCTGGAAAAGAAGGACAGCAGGAAATGTCTGCTTATTAACATGTAAACAATTTTCAGTAGGAAAGACAAAGGTTGATCCTCAGTGATAACTAATATTATTTTCTTTTCAAGAAAGGAGTTGAGGGCAATGTTAACAAACCCACCCAAAAATACTGTGTGGTTTGTATTGGGTCTGGAACAACAATGGGAGATAAATTGTGCAGAACATTCTTCACGGGCCAAATCTTTAGATGTGTCCATGTGTTTTATGTTTGATTTGTCTGGGTTTGAGGTGCTGAGGCAGAATGCACAAAAAGCATTCCCAAATCTTACCAAAGCCTGGAAAACCCACCCTCTGTGCATTGGGTTCAGAGAAAATACCTTGACTGGGTGCCAAACCAGAGAGTAGTCCCTGTAAAACCAGCCTGGCACCTAAGCCTGTAGCTCTTGCAAAAACTATTGAAACAAAATATGCTGGGGGTAGGGTTTTGAAGGGGAAGAGTGAGGTGAGGAAGCCTGGAAACTACTTTTTGTTTTCAATAGTCAGGTCAGTTTGTCTTATGTGTGGTTCTGTTGGCACAAGGATCTGTGGTAGAGTTCTGAAAAATCTCCTCATATCTCTGGGTATTCATTGTAAGACTTAATGAGTGGCAAGAGTTCACATTTCCTGACATATTTTACTTTTCCTCCTGGTTGAAGTCATGGCTTTGGGGAGAGGAAGGAAGTGTAGACACCAAGCTTATTCTGACTTTGCTCTCATCACCTCGGTGTTACAATTGCCTGAGTTTGTTTTGGAGTTTGTTATTCCTGTGGGTCCCACCTTGCACGTGCTCACCTCAGTGGTGATCAGGTCCTGTCATAAAG